TGTTACGTATGCCGAACCATCGTTTGCCGAAGAGAGTGCTGTTTTCCATGCCCAATTCGGAGTGGCGTAAACAGAGAGGTGGCCAACCCTTGACTTGGCAGAGGAGTATGAAGGAGATCACGAAACGCTTGGGTGCTGTCGGTGCTACTCGCCTTCCAGGATGGGGACCGCGTGATCCTCACTACAAGATATGGCTGCCAACCGATGTCAGTGGTGTTCTTGTTGTCAATTTCTGTCCAGATTGCCTGAGTGGATGTCTGGAGGTGTAGGCACCTCGGAATGATTGTGTTAAGCTAGCACTAAGTCCCCCCCATCCACCTTTATTCTTTCCTTCACAATAAGGCTTTGAAATAAGTCATGGTTGTACGGCGGTGAAGTATCGGTGTTGAACACTGATGTCATGCTGTCGATGATGATGATGATGATGATGATGATGATGATGAAACAAAGATATTCATTGCATCAAACGTACTATAGTCAAGTTGGAAACGGTCAAAAGAACAGTGAGGATAAGTATCAAGTGGAACGAAGTTTTCTTGAGTTTCAGTAAGGTTGTAGAAGAACCAACCGGACGATGTTTTCCGCTCGCCTTGGGAGACGAGCTTAATGAGAATGACCCGTTAGAGCTTAGGTGTAGACTCGTACCATATCCAGTACAGTCGCAATCAACTTATCGATACGGCATTCAAGATGAGGAAATACACCATTAGCATCGGAAAGAAGTTGTCGATCAACAGACGTATTCAATACTCCTGAGCTATCAACAGCGTGTTTTCACTGGAAAATGAATGAGGCCAACGGATCTTGAGGGCCCAGTGGAACCACATACAAACTCAGCCCTTAAGAAATTCGAATTCGGGCAATTAGAATTCGTGCCAGGTTTTATCCCTGGAAGTTACTACAGCTTCACAAATCTTTGGACGTGCTCAAACTCCTCATTTCTGGCAGGGAAATACCTCGATTTCATAATTTCGCGGCGTATCCGCAATTCCAATTCATTCAAGGCAGCGCAATGTTATCTGGAGTGGTATGGCATACACAAAGTTGTGCATTAAAAGACGATCATGCGAACGGAAAAGGTGACTGACAGGATTTATGTAGTGGATTGGTCAGAGGTTTCAAGAAGTGTGTAGATCTTGTAGCGACATAAGTCAGGAGATCTGGTAAGTGCGCGATCAAGTTAGTTTCATTCCTGTTTGGGTTCTGAACCAGATCACAGAGATCTAACCATCCTATTGTCATATGGTACGATAAGGAAATCGTCAGTAGTATTGTACGCGAAAGTGGAGGATAATTCATTCAAGTGCTCATCCGTGACGCTTGAAAATTGGACATCGAACAGTATTTTGCGAAGAATGAACAGGAATATGTACTCAGGATACTGTCAAACATTGAATAACTTTCCATGAAGACCGAAACAATATTCGACTGGATGATAGTTTGGGTAAATAAAAAGGGAAGGTATCCGCTGTGTTCCCTGTTTTTCGGTACACAGTCTAGCGGGAAACCATTGAAAGAACGGTTGGTCATCAAGCTGGTATCACAGTCCGTGCGCAACAAAGATCCTTCGAATGGTGCTGCACAAGTATTGTGGAGGAACGTACGTTTTAGGAATAGCCGTAAATGATTGGTCATGGTAGAAGTTGAGCAGAACAACAACAAGCGGAATCTTTTATCAGGGTGTGATGAACTGAGCTGCTGATTGCGTCGAGTACTTCTACGATCCGCTTCTTATTACATACAGGTAGGACTGTTAATCCAGTCTGATCGGCTGAGAGTGGACCAGATTACAGGACTTAAGGTTATATGGTAACGCAAAAATTGAGGCCGAGAGTGATAACGATAGTTGAGAAACCGTCTTCCTTCTCCGCTAAGAGCAAACTGGAGCTTACGTTTTCCTATTAGAGGCGCTGAGTTAATTTAGCAAATAGCCTACTTTAAAACAATTGGCGGCCTCGAACAAACACTGAATGCCTTCAAGCATCGCGAAGTCAATCAGAGAGTGGACCAGTCATGAGCTAACGTGTTTGGACATGAAATATCTTAAAAGCGGCAAATAATGCTGTTTGTAGTCTAATATAAGTCCATGGCTTGGCATTGATAAATTTGGATTCCACCGGAATAAACTGGTCCTTTTTGATTGATTTCCTAGGAACAAAGCTTGGGAAGTGCCTAGACGTCTTTGTTTTAACGATCCTATCCATATTTTCTCGTGCGTGCTTGTTTCGGTGGGGAAATCAAAATCAACTGCGTGACTGGTAGAGAGAGTGGATTAAAACAGCACCCAGTTTCGACAAATACATTCATTTACATACCAATCTGGTCCTCACAATAGACTCAACTGAATCTCTAGTTTACGAAGAGTTTGTAGTAACATTGTGAATAGTTTCCTTTCATGAAAATCACTTAGGTCCTTTGTCAGAACAGGCTATTCATGCAGTTGCTGAAAACTCTTCGGCATCCCACAACCAGTTTCACCCTTCTGGAGCATTTCTGATAGGCACAGTTCGAGGTTCCTGCAACTCGTGTGATCGGTCAAGAAACTATACTCCAACATCTGAAATGTACTTACTGAAACTTGAGAATCAGTTCGGATTTAGTTACGTCTGTCGTTGACATCCAACTCATGTGCAAATTATTAGCTAGCTTGTTTGAGCTGTCCTGCCGATCAGCTCTGTGGTCTCTCATTCCATGCAATCGACCGCATCTACGTGCTTTTTTATTACTTTAATGTAGGCATCTAGGAGCAGGAGTTGAATTTCAGGTAACAGCTAGGCTAGGGTAAATTGGTTGACTACCTATTCAGAAGTATACTATTTATGCGCCCTTAACCACTCGGTGTAGCTCTCACTCTGCTTCTTCGAATACCTGTTTTTTTTCGTTTTCACGTATCTACTTCGGAACTCCATCCCTTCCACCTCAACGTAATCAACGTACTTGTTGTAGCACAGCGCTATTACGATGAAAGTCAAACTGATGGATTTCGAAGAAAATACAAGCACTTAACAAAACGATACCGGTGTTTCTCAAAATATTTTGACAACTTCAACGGCTTTTAAAAGCTTGTGGATGCAAATGTGGTAGCTCAGCACACTGCATGGAAAACTCACGAACTCTTCGGCTGATCGTAAAATAAACCTCCTACCTGAGTATTAGTTAATAGTTTCTTAAGCAGCTGACTGTGAAGCGATAACTAAGATCGTGTTATCTAAGACGCCAGTCAGGTTTGAATAATCCTCGGTTCTCTTTCCACCTATGGACTACAGATTAGCTCAGTTTTTGAAATCACTTTTATGTTCGCCGTCTGAACCCCCTTAAAGTTCTTTTATTCGTTTGAATATTTTCCGTAAATATCCAAAATATTCGAGAAAGAAAAAGGAGTCCCACTGACTGCGACACTCTGCGGGGTGCGAAGCCTTCTGAGCTTTGAAAAGAACTCAACGTGTCTTATGTTTGGTGATTTCGATTAGAGTTCAAAACCTACATCCACGATGTGGACTCCGAGAGCCCCAAGAAGTCATGTCTCTTCCGGCGGTTAGTCTACTTGGTTTTAACAGCCGGAGCATATGGATGAATACGTGATAATGCACTAATAAAAACCAGAAGTAGAGTTATAGTGGTTATTGATGAACAAACGTAAAGGGACGTGTGTTACGAAAGAAAATAAAAGAGTGAAGTTGCAGAACCACATGGCTAATTGCGATGAAGCGTTTTGGATTGTCAAGCTAGTGCAACGTTAGTTAGAAGCCACTCCTGGGCATACGAAAGGTGATCACAGCCATATATAGTTGCGGACTGTCCATTTGAGGCTTGTGTCAGTACTTTGGGCACTACGGGTTCCGTCACGCTGCCGGTGAATTTCATGCTGCTTACCGAAAATAAGTAGTTAAAATGCGCACGTATCACAGTTTCCAATCCACCGCTCTGATCATCGATGAATATGTCGCTTTTAGCACAGCTGAGGACAGCTTGCTAAGGTGCTTAGCATGTTTTCATTTACAACCGCTTTCGATCACCTGACTATTTGAAATTTAAGCTAACTGGTGAACTGCAACTGCGACGCCAATTTTAGCCACACACGCCATCGGAATGCGTTGACTGGTATTGTCAGAAACCCTAATCTGTCCGAACACGCGGAAAAAAACTTCCCAGTCATGGAACAACGCATTTGTTGTATTATGGAAGTAACACTCCATATGATTGTTTTCGAACAACACGTTATGTGGTCAGGTAATAAGATAAGTATTTAGTATAATCTGGCGTGGAAAACAAATGTTGCATAGTATGAAGGTCACAGGCGCAAAGAAACAGACCTGTGAAATAACTCAGGAAAAGAAGTTTGCTGACTGAGGAAACCTTGGAATAAATGAAACTAAATTTTTGTCCGAGAAACGGCAGAAGATGGTTTAGAAAGGCATCACAATCTGATCAATAGTAGACAAGCATAGAGCGAGTCCGCGAGACGCGGAAGAACAATCATTTATCTGACTGAGGGACCGAAAATGACTTGGGCAAGGTAGGTAGAAGGATTATGCTGCATCAAGTCCGATGAGCTCCGCGAGCATTCCGAACATCATGCTTCAGTTTCAAGGCTGCTGAATTATCACCAATTAGAATGCGGGAACCAATACGTTTCGGTTCGATCAAGCTGGATGAAAAGATCTCATTTTCTTCGTCTTCCAACTCAGAATCACTGCTGCAATTTCCCGCGTCCAACAGAGTTCGGCTGTCCGTTATCAATCGGCCTAAGTTTGGATGACTGTTGGCAGTATGTGAGTTGTTTTTCTCATGGGCGGTTTTCGTTAACAGGTCCCCACCTTTGCGCACACGAACCTGAAAATGCAAAGTGAACAAGTACCGATTGAGAAACAAAGGAATACGTCCACAATAGGAATTTTCACCTCAGTCCGGGTAGTATCCTCCAACCGTGGGGAGTATATGGACTCTGCATTTGAATACGTTAAAGTGGATTTTACTTATCAAAATGGTCCTCACTTCTACACTCCTGTGACCGTTAATCACATACCGGTAGTTATAATATGATGCTCACCAGGGGCTGAAGAGTGGTAAGCACAAAAAACTGATCAGTATATAGTACGGTGTATGCTGCTAATAAAATGTCTCATGTTAGGTGCATCGGATGAAAAAATGCGTTTATCTCCACACACCAATTATTCGAAGGGCTCGCGGCAGTTGCAGCATAGGGATAACCATTCACAATGACTATCATGCTGTTATCTTTTGGCACAATTCCATCCATTTCAGTTTTTCACTTATGCACAAGATCATGTGGTCATCAGAATCGGGGATGATTCTGGGTTCGTGAAGGGAGCTGTACCGTTTCGCTGGGCATAAAAGCAGCCCCCTTTTATGGAGAACACCTGAAAGTACCGGACAAACGTTTTCTCTTCCTGGATCAACTTCACATTTGGAATGTGTTTCAGGTGACCCCTCTAGAAGGGAAAAAGTTTCTGTTTGCTCTTTTTGTATAGAACCTACTTTATTGATCTCCCAACCCACTAGTTCCATATTATTTTAACCAAGCTATTTGTCAGGGCTGACATGCAATAGAAAATCCGATGGGGCGATAAACAATCTACAAACTACTGCTGTGTGACAAGCTGCATATGATGATATAATGGGATGATAAACAAATAAGGCATCAAAGTACTCTTTCTTTAGTAGACAGCCAATTTTGGCCTTAGCGCTTATTATGGGAGTTGAAACACTTCATCAGAGAGCACCGGTTGCTGTGAGTCGTTCACGGATGCTCGACAGTAGAAGCATTGTGAAACGGCGTACGTGAACCATTGGCGTTTCTCCCTTAAATTACACAACAATTGGTGGAAGGGCTAGGCGACAGATTTTGTTTTTCCAAGCATGTGCCAGCGGCACTAAAGTGGCACTGAAGTCAAGCAAGCTGGGGAAGAGCAAATGCGTTTCAAGGCCAACCCTCATATCAACCTAACTAATGTGGTCCAAATAGGGGGGTAGTGACTATTTAATGAAATTTTAAGATCAAATCACGCCCATATATACCACGTTTAAGTGCTAAATCCATAGCTTCGTACATGTAAGATTTTAAACACTTGTAGGAGAACGCGATTCAGACAAAACGTCCGAAACTTTGAATAAGAAATAAAAACAGTGTAATTTTGTGTAGGTTTTCCGTTACCGTTCTGTTTCATTGTATCCTGTTGACCAAACACAAGCATCTCATCACACCACACTACTGACACGTGACTTGATACAGGAGAGAGGTAACACTGACAACAGAAAACGGGTGGTATACAAGAATATTTCAACGCAGGAAAATATGTGAAACAGTTTTTAAAAAAATCATACGTCCGACACTGGAAGAGATTTAGTAGAAGCGTTGGTTCCGGTCCTCAGCCCAAAGGGACATTAGGTTCCTACCAGGGCTCATCTACTTATCGACGAGGTTTTCGATAATACGAAACTGCTGATTGGTTGCTCTAGACGGAGCAGTTTAGTTTCAGTCTCTCTGGAAATTCGTGAGACGCACATCAGTGGTAACTTCCATCAAGGATATTCGTCAACAGCACAAAATAGGCGTTCAATACCAATCTTACGGCCATATATTGCAGCCTCTCCAACCATGCACCCGCAGGACCACGCATACTTCATCTTAGAAGACAAATCGCTTTCTTCATTTTCCTCTATCAGATCAAAGGTTCACTCATCTGAGTATGACGCTTTGAAGTAAACATGAAAAACGGCACTATCTTAGACAATGAGTCGGCATGCGCAATACATGACCAAACTTCCGCAGCTATTGGAGCTATTTACATCCTTCGACTGAAATACCCGTCGAAAAATGAACATACTTCCTGATTCGCTTGTTTCGGATTCGCTGAAACCAGCCTACACGAGCTATGGTCCCGAGACAATGGTTATCGAATACCTGAAGAAATCTCCGTTTCGCTGGTCAGAGAGGCCACGCCTCATACAATCAGACTATGCAAAACCCAGTCCCCTGATATTCAGGAATACGCGGCCTCACCATCATAGGAGTCTCAAGGTAGTAAACGTAATTCGACTGTTAGAGATTGGTGCATTAACTTCATTTGTCCCATTACAAGGGGATCGTCTCTCTTTGAATGGCAAGCAGAATGTCAGTAACTGCGTGTCCAGGGTCATTACCTTACAATTTAAGAGTGAAAAACGAATGCCAAATGGACGCGACGACTTTCATCAGTAAATTAAACAAACACCTGTGCTTTCTTTTCCTCTTCGTCCGTATATTGCAGTTCAACAAGATTTCATCAGCAACTGTTAGAATACCAATGTTTCGGAGACCCTTTGGCATTCGTCTGAATACTTCTTCGATTACGGAACTGAATAAGAATGGATAGAGTGAGCATCCTTGTCGGGCACCACTTGGTGTGTTAGGGCTTTTGCATAACTCAATGACAAATTTTTGATGCCTTCCTTGCTGAGCCAAAGAAGGAGTACAGACCGGCGAACACAGTCAAGTCCGCCTTAGAAATTCAGGAATGTCAAAACTATGGATTACGTATGGTGTTGTTCTACCATTTAGCAGAAATTCTGCTGCTCACTGCTTCATGGGTAATCATAAGACAACGAGGTACCAGTGATGCCAAGAGCCACGTTGCAAATAAGACTAAATTGATTCACCTGTGAATTACATTCACCGTGGTCCTCCTTTTGGAAACCAAGCACTATTACCGACTGTCATCAGCTGTCTGGGACAGTATTCTTTTCTGAATGCAGGCAAATAAATCATATAAGCGTCGAATAGAGACCTCAAAATATCCTCAAACAGTGCGAACAAGGAGGCTCAGCAAAGGTGAAGAATTTTCGTAGTGCTTTTCTGTTTTTCGGCTTTACTTGCTGGATGAAATATCAGTTGGTATTCACGATTTGTCAGACTGCAGGATCAAGTGGCAGCAGGATGTGATAATTGCATACCTTGATATGCCTTGATCCAGATACTTCAAAATCTGTTCTCAAACCCCGAAAGCATGTCTACATAGCCGTCCTTAATGTTCGCAAGCTGAGGGATGAAGGACAGCGGGTGGCTCTTGCTCGTTTGCTGGATTATCTCTGCATTAATTTTTGCTGTCTGTCAGAGGGATACAGGATGCAATTACTGATTAAATTGAATGCCCCCTTGTGCCAGCTGCGCAGCTCTGGTGATACGGGGGAAGGTGAAGTTGGATATTTCGGAGTGGATCCTGTATTGAGCGAACGAGCGGAAGCGTCTCTGTTTGACTGACCTGTTGATAGACCCCTCTGGGCGGTTCTTTTGGCAATATCTGCGAAAGAATCAAGGGTAAGTGAGGTCCTTCGCACCTTGTTCATAGTGTCTGCTTACACTCCAACGAACTGTAGCTCTGAATATGCCGAAGACAGTTTCTATGACGCTGTAGGTGCTCTTTTACTATGGACTAAAAGCTCAGATATCGTTGTGGTTGCTGATAACACAAACACCCAGGTAGGTAGACTAAGCACCGCTGCAGCTCGATTGAGTGGTCGTATTGAATTGGACACGAGACGCACGGACAACGGATACCGCCTTCTTAAGATGTGTGCCGATTACAGACTGTTCCTTTGCAGTAAGAATTTCCGGAACAGCGGAAACCGCTTAACAACGTGGTGCCCACCAAACCAGCACCGAATCCAAGTAGACCACATCACCGTCAGTTATCACTGGCGAGAGCTCCAAACTGCCTGCCGCTTCTTTTGGAATACCACCGTGGACTCCGATCATGTACTTGTACGGTGTTACTTTTTGTTGCGCTTTTCAGGTCTACGCAAAATGCACACACTTTTCATAGCCAGTGAGAAGCTAGTGGACCCATAAGTCAGACAAAAATATCAGAATCGGCTCTTCTAACGCGTACCGGACGGTCGGACGTCGGATATAAATGGCTATTGAAAGAAGATGCCCAAAGAGCTACTCAGAGCCGGAATCCAGTCAACACCAACCAAACATTGGAACTCTGATAGGATCGTGCCTTTCCTGGAGGCTCAGTAACAGATCCCTCTGGTCAAAACCACCAATCCATCCTTCGCATTATCCAACGCCAGGTTAAAATGAGTGTCCTGCGCACTGAAAAGCTTAGTTGATCCGAAAGTCCAAAGAAGTGGAGGGTGCAGAAATGACACAAAGGTCCGCAAGCTGTTCCACTTAATTCATTCAACTGGTCCTCGGAAGCCTATTGTCAGGGAACTTAGCAGGGATCAGAATGGCTCTTCGATACCTAGCAAAGCAGAACGTTTGGACCACTGGGCACAATACTTCGAATGGCGATTCAGCTGGTCCCCTGCTACCTTCTCCTCGGAATCCTGGCCTTCAACAGAGAGGTGGCTTTGAATATGGAGCCATCCTCAACCTCAGAAGTGTTCGAGTGCATATCCCTACTCAAGCATCATCGTGCTAATGACGCTGATGACCTTCCACCTGCTCTTTTCAAGGATGGCGGTGAATTCCTCAGCCAGTGCCTAGCTAGCCTATTTGGGTCTATCTGGGAGAAGGAGACCGTCCAAGACAACTGGAGTGAATCGATAACAGTGTCCGTTTTGGAAAACGGATACTTGCTTGGAATTTGGTAACCATGGAGGTGTTAGTTTGACTCCTGTTGTGATAAGGTTTCTGGTGTCACCCATTGTTCGTCGTTTTGTGGTGGCATGGGAAACCTGGACTTATGAGAAGTAAGCGGGATTTGGACCCGGTAGAGGCTGCGTTGACCAAATCTTCATACTTCGCCAGGTAATACAGCAATGCCGTATGTACACATGAACCACAATCTTGATGTTCATTGTCTTAAAGGGTGAGTTTGACTCCGTCGATTAAAGAGTGGTGTTAACTACACTTGCTCGTTAGCGTATGCCCCAGAAGTTTGTGAACATAATCCGATCCCTATTTTCACATATGGGTGTGTGAGAATTTATAGTGAGCTCTCCAAAAGCTTCTCTACATGAAGTGGTGTCCGACATTCTTGTTCAACTCCGTCACTGATGAAATAATGAAGCGAACGCTAAAAGGTCTCCAAAACTCCAGTGCTCAACTCGTTTCTGGTGAGAACATTGACTCTTGCAATTCTGTTCCTATGCGAGGCACGAAATAGTTCATTTCATTTGGGAACAATCATGCTGCCCTAAATGACCCCGGCTTTAAGGAGGGGCCGGTTTAAGAGCCTGCAGCACTGCGGAATCGAAAACTAGTAGTACGGAGGTACGCCACCGCCTCATATTTGTGTAACTTTTTGACATAAAGACACAGATTTACAGTCTTTAGAATTTCCTGAATTACTTTTGATTTTTCAACACTGTTTACGAGATTTTCCTCCAACTTATCTGCGTTTTATTGAACTTATTAAAAGTGTCCCTGTGTGCTCAAAATGTGTAAAGCAATCCGATGTAAATTAGTTACAACTTTGAATTGTGTACTTGAACACTGTCCCGGGGCGACAACAGAGAATTTCACCCAGGTCTTCGTTGTCATAACTTTAATTTGAAATTGGGCGTATGACTCGATTGTCGTACAATTTGGAAAACAGATTGACGGAAAATTACAGACTGTCTAACTGACTGGTCACCCAACTCAGGTGAACACTATAATGGAGGTTGCATCAAGCTTATAAGTAGTGACAGAAAACTTGGAGTGTCCCGGTGAATGAGGTTATCTCAGCGCAAGGCATATATTCATACAAAAGCCGGTGGGTGGGGTGATTTCACACAATCCACTGCTGAGATTAGGTAACACGGACAAACCTCGAGTCTCTGGATTAGTGAGGCGAGGTGTACGGGAAAATATAGTCTTCAGCGAACATTCGACGAATTCCGCTCTATGGAGCCTAAGTGTTGTTGTACTGTCCTGCTGAAATTAACGGTCACCGATTTTCAAGCAGTAGTAACAAATGTAAGATCATGACCCAGCACCAATTACAGGATTGATCGTACCCTTCGACAACCAACTTGCCGGTTTCGCTCTTTTTACAGTTTAGTATAGAGTCACAACCCCCGGGATTTTATCAACATTATTGTCGACTTGAACAAAAGGTTGTAACTAAGCGGAGTCATAGACTCGTTTGAGAATAATCTATGTATTGACGAAGATTAGACTGAATATCAGCTAAATCACCCGTTATCCAGTTATCATAAGTACACTACAAGGAAGAAATCGCAGCGATAGTAGCATCACGTATAATGACACTGCGAGTGAAATTTTTTGCGCGAAGTTATAGCAAAACCAAAATCCATGATACATAATCTTCGGTCTCTGCTAGGTGGCATTTGATTTCGTGTGAAAGTAGTGAAATTCCGCCTAGTGTCACGGTAAAAGTAATCACAGTTTGTCTGAAACGTGACGGGGGAAATGATGATCCTCTCTTCGTCCCTGCTTGATGCCTATTGAATCAGTCAAAACCGACGAAGTTAAAAAACACGACTACTTATTTTCGCCTCCTTTGTCACTGAAGTACTCAACGGGAGAGCTGATTTCAACCTTGCCACATTAAGAAGATACCTTAACGCGTATTATTTTTAAAATCTTAGACCAGTTCGTTGGGAAGCTCCCACTACATATGAATTTTCCTCCTCATTGAAACATAGAGAGATCGTTGAGGGCAGGGTAGTTTTTCAGCATAGTACAGGAGACATGTATACGTAAGATTCATTTGGTCCCTGCACTACTGTCTGCGTCGGCTCTAAAAGCTAGTCGACTGAATGAAAATTGTTATGCATCACCCAGCTTTTTGTTTGCCGCCGTGATTACCCACGGTCATAGCTGACTGGAGCTGTTGACAAGAGTCGACCTGGGCTATGACCATATTCGACAGTGATGGATCGACCTTATGGACTATTCATGAATACTGTTCACGACTGAACGTCGTACACATGGCTGTCTCGTGTTTCTTATTAACCGAAGCAAGTTCTCATGTCTAGACATTTCTCAGAACCCTTAGTGACATTAGTGTACAGAACATCTTACGACCAAATAGAGTACTTTGACGAGTAATAAGAGACAGGTGAAAGTATGCAAACTGTTTAAAAAATGTCAGATACCAATGAAGCCATCCCCCCAGAGTTTTGTTGCAACGTACGTAGTGTTTTAAGAAGAAAATTATAAAAAAAACATCCAACAAATTGAACTAAAAAGGGCAATGATATGCATGCTGAAAAAGTCACCGTCCACACTACTGTTCACGGCCCCACCTACCACTAGGGTTTGAGTCATCAGGACAGAAATCGATGGCACAGGGGAAACGAATAAATTAGTTGCCTGCAATGTGGCTTCATGCAGCTGTGATGTTCTCAACTGGGAAACTGATGTGACCTTATCGGGTCATGACTTTCAGTGCCCATATTTCGAGTGCTAACTTAATCAATCAAAAACCCCAGTTTAATGAGGCGTCATCGAAACCCAAGGCTTTTCTGCATTTAGTACGCCTCCAAAATTCCCTCTCAGCGCCAATATACAGCCGTTTATAACAAACATTTCGGGAGAAGAACCTTACATCCCTTCGTTGTACGCTCGAATTATATATACAATACAGACATCGGGGAAACCGACACTTGTTTTATCAGGGGATAACCTTTTAGGACAGAACGGTTTTCTCCAGTCTCGAAGATTGACGCTGAGACAGAGGGATGGGAGATGTTTGACTACTTTAAGACAATCATCACTCTTCTCAAACGGCCAGTCGTCTAATATGCCCATGATTGGGGGTTCAAGTATCAGCTTTCCAAATTATTTTATAAATACAAGAGGACTATAGATTTATTCAGACATAAACCTGGGCATAAACCCGGGGTAACTAAGGCCTAGAAGGGATTTTGCGGAGACAAGTCGAACCTGAATGAAAGTATACATTCATGAGGTTTTACCGGAAATTGCGTAGTAGAAACTCACATCTTGTTGCTTCAGACCTGCACTTGTTAATAAGTCTACATACTCCGGACATACTAGTGATGCCTCTGTTGGCTTAGTCCACCGTCGCAAAAGTAATGAAAGACCAATCACGGAGACTGAAGAGGCAGCCATTGCAGCTGATGCCATCCACGGCGCTAATTCGATGCCGAACGGGAGCAGACAGCCTTCGCACAACGAAAAGGAACGAAAGACAAGAAGGATTTAATGTACAAAATACTTGATTCTGCCGACAGATAAAATACAACTCCAAAGGAGACTGCATGAACGGTGACATTTTGAGAATCTACAGAAAGTACAGTAACATTCAGCGAACGTAGCTAGCAACCCGAAATGTAAACAAAAAAGGGACAATAAAACTCATCAAAAAGTCGCTAAATCACAGGATTCAATTGTTCATTCCGGATCACTTATATAGAACCTCCCTAAGACAATGATTCATTGGGAAAACATATCACGGCCGTGGGCAATTTGCTGGTCAGATCACAACTTGGGACAACAATCCTAGTGACTCAAAAACGGCAGACTTATCTGATCAAGCAACCGTCTAGAATGGCATGAATACGAGGAGTTGGATAGTCCCGTGTCGCTAACCAATTAAGGCAAGCATGCGAACAAAAAAATACGCGACACCGAAAGATTGTGACCATCCCTAATGCAACACACTCAAGCCACCCAAGTTCGCTGCTAAAGGATCCGTGCTCCTTAAATGGGGAGAAATTCTGTCCCGGTAAGGAGTTTCAAGGCATCCAAGAACAACGGAGAAGTTTACAGACTCAGGCTTCTGCACTGTCGGTCACGATCCTTTTTACTTTGTGTTTGTTGCCAGAAGCACTTACTATATTCACTTCGTTGCATTTTTCGCACCGGTTAAAAATTCTGTGTTCCCGCCAGATTCTTATTCGTCAAAATACATCATCAAGCGTTCCTAAAGAGTAAGGCTGCACACGTTCAGGCTGCACACATTACGATAGTGCGTTCTATGTACCTACACAAGGAATCCTAATGGGTGCCAACATTATTTCTATATTGAAATAGACCTCATGAGTTCGGAGGCACTTAAAAGGGAGTGATCTCGGGACAGGGCGTGCATGAGGGAGAACTCATGCAACAGGCAAACCCTTTTGCATTCTAGTTGGCCGTTTATAATCGCGCTGAGCCAAGTACAAGTTCACACAGAAGTTGGGCTATAGATGATAGATAAACGTATTTCGTGTGGTAAGTTCAGCAGTCAAAACGGAGTTTGAAGTTCAGGCGTACAACCTTGATAAAAGCAAATAGCTCGTAAGTGGTGAAAGGTCACGATCAAACGGGATACTAATAGGTAAGACAGTTAAGATAGTAACAGAAACTAGAAGTAGTTCGGGCGTTACACGCAGTTTAGTTGTTAGTGGGCTAATGTTTGGAGTATTCAAATTAATCCGAACAACGTACGATAACATCTGAGAACTTCTGTTAAACTCCATTAAAGACTATATGGTGATGAGTAAATCATGGGCAGACACAGCGCCAGTCAGTTGACCACGAGTATCACCAATCGATCAATACATAGTTTGTAAATATGACGAACAGTCGATATAAGTGTGACAGTGTCCGAACACAATGCGACCACAATCGATCGGTGTGCAGCTTTCGCGATGTGTGTTGAAAACTTGGCATCTATTTGCTGCGTTACATGAAGACTTGACGCACGCGGGCCTCTGGTTAAACATAGACTTGGTTATGTGCCGTGTATGCACATGATCGAATGAACCTGAGACATGATTTCTTACTCTTATTGGTATTAACCTCAACATTGAGGAAGTTGGTGACGATTTTCAAAAAGGTTTACACTGAAAAATCCCCAGTTATGAAAGTGAGCGTCAGGTCAACCGAGTGGGCAGTCGTCTCGGCGTTGACAGAAATTTCGCAAACGGTGACTAATATTCCGTGCAGCAGAGCAACTTTGAACAGTTTACCAGTAGCTCTGAATAACAATACGTATGAACTATGGGTTGTTGTCTGTAATCCGTGTTACAGAATGGGTCGCTGGAACAGGTTTGCGTTTTTGGTTGAACACGACTGCGAACAGCAGGATACACGGGAAAATTCCACACAAGTTAACCGATCCTTAGATTCCAGGCACGCCTCTAAAGACTTACTCTACTGAGAAGACATATCATGTGCACAGTCGTTTGATTTGCGAAAAGTTGTTTCCCAAAAGACTTTCATTAAAACAGTCTTAATAGATAGTTTACAGGTCAAACAGACAGACTAATAAACCAGTTCTTCAATATCGACTACCCAATGGCGTGGATATTGAAGACTTTGCATGTCAGTGCATAATGAAGGTTATGTGTAAATCAGGGTCAACGTAGTGAGTGATGTACAAAACCACAGACATATCTATCCATTGGAACTGAGAAAAGGTTCTTAGATGGCGCGCAGGCAATTAGTGCAGGTGAGAAGACCATCAGAGGTACTGAGACATGAATGCATCTCGGATTTATCATCTGACCAGCGAAATAGCTTCTGGGGTAGCTATCCGCCAGAATTCTGGCTTTCTGGGTTGTAGTACTAAAACAAGTTTAGAGACACTGTACTACATACACTGGTCAACAGGGTATATGTGCCAAGTGTTGCACATTGTTCCAGTCCCTTTTTGTTGAATCACAAACAGAGATACATCCGGTTCGCTGTATTTTAAAACTAGAGGGAAAAGTTTAAAGTCACTCTTTCACTGTTGGGGCAGCTTTAAATTCATGAAAACCTTCCACGAAAGGATTCGCCAGCGAGGTTTCTACGAAGCTCTTCCTTCGTCAACTTGCCACACAGATTACAACATCCATCTAAAGCTAATCGATTCTGTATGAAGTTGAGTAATTCTTCAACAAGATCACCGTACTGCTTTATGTTGCTGGGCACTTGAAGAAGCAGTCCGAAAGGTGCGGTGACCAAAATATAAGCTTGATCTTGTTTTGAGTTTTATTGCAAGCAGTATTACTAAACTCCCAAGTCATGTAAATAAGAAAAGCGACATAGGTTCAAAAAATGCGCACACGAACGGTACCCCTAAATTAATCTGTTTGGTCTGTTGTACTTAATTTTAGGTTAATAAGAAGTTTTTCAAACGACGAAGCTCTCGATAGGGGTCCAAAAAGCTTAATCGGAAACTCTGTGGTTAACATGTAATAAGGTCTCACTTAGAAGAGTCGGGAAAGCACACAGAGGAAATTAGCCGTTCACAGATTTAAAATGAGGCGGGGCAGGTGAGTAGATACGAAGTTCGTAAACATCGTCCACTCTAGCAAGTGTCAAGTTATTCGGAAAGCCAATAATTTGCTACCGAGTGTTAAGTCATCTTGCATGTAATGCCTTTGCACCTGGGGTGGAGCAAACTTTCTCATTATCATTATCATAAATGAAAGCAATACCAGAGCTGATGCATCATTTTGTTTCGCTTAGTGAAATCAGATTAACCCCACACTTCGGTGTCAAAAATAATTCCGTATCTCTTTGATAGCAGCGGCTGATCTCGCCACTACTACTACCGAACAGATATTGGCACGAATGGCCATGACATTTTGACGTTATTTTCTCACCCCTGGTCACCATAAATAATCTTCCACAAACACAAATAGAACCATGGCCACACAGCAAGTGCAATAAGGAAAGGAAGAAGCATTTGTACTTTTAAACTTTTGAACCACCTTAACCAGGTAAGATGTGCTGCCAGTAATTTGCTTATGGAGGAAATTAAATCGGAACAGGCTCGAATATGAAAGGACTGAATAAGGTCGACTGTGACACGGAACTGAATATGTTTAACCATTTCCAGGTAGTGTGATCCATGTTGGTGCAAGGGAAAAATCGAAGGACTAGATAAAGTTTACCTCTTATTCGTGTTACTGATTAAAGGCCTGTGAATGTTTCAAAATCATTCGTGACACTCAATTCCTATTACTTACGAAGGCATTGCATTACTCAAGAAGTGGGTGGAAATAGTACGGAGCATCTGTGAAGCCAACTCGACAAACCATAGGACCCAGATTGAAAACATTCTGTTACTAGTTGGGGAGACGCAATCAGCGCACGAACGAGTGGAAATTTTGAGATTGCTTGATAATGAAGAATGAAGACTACGGATAACTAATGTGGTCACCTGGTTTACCAGCCTCATAAGCTCACTGTGCACATGCAAGAGCGTTGACCCACTCTTCAAAAATAATGGTTGCCATTACATTTTATATAGTCCGCTTTCACGCTACTCTAACACATGATCTACGTTCCATTGGCTATACCTGATATATCTATCCCCGATGAAAGAGCGATAGGAACAGCAAATTGCATTGGAAGGATGGAGGGAACCCCGCACCGAGGGATAAAATGTCAACCGAAAATGAACTGTGTGACGAAAAACTTCTGGGAAAGGTTGGCATTCTACTATATAACGATAATGATGTAAATAAGAAAGAGCCAGGAACTTTTGGTCTATGGAAGCTGGCAGTCAGGTTGGATGAATGCCTCAAGGTCATCGAAAATTTGGAGCTAAGGAAAGCTAGTACGAATCACATACGTAGCTCGTTCATCAGAAGCTGTCATAGATGCAGTTTACTAAACACCTAAAGGTTACTGGGATAGGTAGTTAGCTTGTTCCTAGAATGGGAGAGTGATACCGCACCGGAAAAGATAAGAACAGGATGGAAGTGGGCTATCATACCGGAAGTTGGAATAGGATAATCGGAAACCAACCGTTTCTGTCTGAAATGTTTTGGATTTGAAACAAGAAATCGAATTCACAATAGCGTTTGCGAGAAAAGAGAAGCCTAAGGTGAACTCCAATCACCGGCCTACTGCTTGCCAGATAGGTGTTCCACCAAGCCTGCGGTGTAGGATGCTTTCCATCTGTCACATCCATTTAGCCATTCTAAAGGCGGTAGGTCGGAGACTCGAGTCCACCTTATGTGAGCCACCTCACTTGCAACAAGTGAGCAGATACTTCTCATCTCAGAATAAAATGCTTTCTGAAAATAACAGGGATGAGAAAAAGGGGAAGAATAATTTTTGTTTTTGGGCAGCAACCTGGATGGCTGAATCAGCATCATCGGTTTTAAAAGAGCTTTACTGTGCATCAAGCGAACGAAATTTGGTACAGAGGTCACGGGTGAATTGTCAGTGGACAACTCTGTGTATGAAGAGACAGAGGAGGAACCAAACAGGCGAATCAGTGACTGAAACTTAGCGTCTTGCGATTAGTCAACCACTCACAAGTCATCTAGGGTGGTAAGTTGACGGGCACTAACTGGTACAGGATGAGTGAGTGGTTTTATCTTACAGCTTCAAAACAATAACAATAAAATAATCATTCAGCCATGAAACCTGTTCAATGCCTAGCTGTCGTCATACTATTCGAAGGAAGAACAAGGGTTGAGAAACTACCAGATCGGCCAGACAGGAGCAGTCATGATGCCGAGGTTGGGTTCGAACCACGGACTTTCCGGGCAGTAAATGCGTACCTTAAACTAAAACACCAAGATTATAAAGCACTGATGTCGCAAAAAGTTCCTACCAACGGCAGGTAAGAAATATATTATGTCCTTAGGGAGGTGCAAGGTAGCACGATTCAGTTTCTTGCTTCGTGAATCCCTGGTGCCGTTGTGCTTGAAGTAAGCACTGATGCATCTTGGGATGTCAAGCGAATCGAAACGGAATTATTTGAAACAAACATAAATCCGCTGCGCTGGCGAAATGTTCGAAAACGATATTAATTTAGTTATCTGTAGGTACCCAGGCGATGAAAAAACAAGTAAAGGACTTAGTTGACGGCTTACATTACTCACCTGCAGCAACCGGGATACCAATCATGTTGTACAGCGTGGCTGCGACAAAGTTACATCTTATTCGGCGAACTGTAGCTCTGGATAAATCAATGGCCCCAATGACATCAATAAGTGAATCTCGGACAAGTACAACGTCTGCAGCCTCAACAGCGACGTCCGCTCCCCGACCGATTGCAATCCCAACGTCGGCTTGAGCCAATGCAGGACTATCATTTACACCATCACCAACCATGGCGACATATTCACGCTTCCATTTCTGCTGACCATGACGCCGCACACGTCGCTCAAGCCTCTGCTGACGACGCCGACGCAGGTTGTTATTCCTTTTCCAAATAGGGTCAGTAGATTCTGAGGGCCGTTTGACCAAAAAGCTGTACAGGGCGCGAAGGACGGGGAAAATGCGGCGCTTGTTACGGGCTGATTCCACTCTGAGGTAGGACCCATGTAAACTGGTTTCGCCCGAGTCATGGTCACTGTCGAAAGATTTGTCAGCTAAAAATTGAAGTCGGGAGATTAGAGCCAACACAATGTAAATTCAGTGCAGAGTATGAGTGATCACATTGCAAACTGGCTCACGTACGCCCGCAATCATGCAATAAAGACCTTTCCGAAATGATCTCGTTTGATACTGGAGTGGTAAACACCACCGACATCTTGATGGAATGCCCATAATTTTACGGAAGAATTTTCTATACATGGAATAGGTTGCTTCTCAAAAGGGTAAACTAAGGGCATTCATTGTATATATTTTAGTAAGCATTCATAATCTCAATAACGCAGTCAAGTATTCGGCCAGTCTGATGTAAACGATATTGAGGTCACAGTCTGAAGTGAGGATTCGGCAATCACGAGCACAGCACACTCTTGGTATGAAATAATCGCAAGCCGCAGTAAACATCCAGACTAGTTTGGTGTTAATTGTTACTGAGGAAATTCGAGCCCTGATGTTCGACTTCACCGTGTGTCTGTGTGACTGGGTAATGCTCTAATACGAATGGGGAGCAAAAGAGTATTGGCATTTGGGTGAACACGAACAGTCACATTTACTGAGGCTGTCATGAAATATAACAGTGGAATAGGTCACATCAAAGTATAAGACCATTAGATTTTCCGCGGAAGACAATCCCTCGTTGACCAATGAAAAACAAAGAAATGAAAAAACCGAATAAGATCCAAGGGTGTTGTTCACATTGGGTTAGACCAGTTGGAGTCAATGTAAACTGTTATGAATTCGAGAGAAATTTCTACGCCATGGCTCTGTTTAAAAAATGAGCCAGTGTTCAGCGTTTTTTTCAATGGTCGAAGTTAAGTACAGTTGTTTGTGCGAAAGTGCAAGCGGAAAAAGAGATTAGAGATTACAGTACAGATCACAGAACGGAATCAGTGGAAATGATGGCACTCATGTGAACCGATTGTCGAGACCCTTCTTACGTTAATATTGCAACTTATGAGGGAAAATATTCGCACATCAAGATTCACGAAACTCACCCAGCATTGGATCAGACCGATGCTCTCGCACGACATCCACATCGAGATTCCTCCTGCGTGTTGAAGATAAACATGGACAAATACGGTATGTTTTTGGTACACGACGTGTCGAATATTGAAGCCTTCGTACTTCTGCAGCTTTGTGTGCTGGCAGTACATCGGCATAAACATCGCGGATGCCAACCTGTCGGGCGATCGCAGATGCTGTTCTACTGTTGTCCCCAGTTAGCAAGCCAACCCGTACACCACGATGGCGCAGTGCAGCAACAGCCAAGGCTGCTTCTGGTTTCACGGGGTCTTCAATACTCACCAATCCAACAAGTTGACCGTCGATTGCGATCAAAACAACGGTTTGACCTCGAGCTTCATCAGCTTCAATGAGTGATTCGACTGTTGGTAGTGGTTCACTGTCTGACGCAACCGGTCGACCATGTTCAGATGTGACAGAGGATAACAAAATCGGAAAGGATATATTGTTTCTTTTGATCCAGTCACGATTGCCGACATGCACCGTGTGGGAACCACCCTTCTTGACATCTTGAAAGTGAATAACGATGAAATAATGTGAGGAAAATGGCAAGGATATCTCTTACCAGAACTGAATAAATGATGGTTATAGTTGTGGTATGATACAGTGATACAAGATGATGCTGGTAAGAAAAACTCGATATTTAAAACGTTCTACCGGAGGTTCTGAATACATGTCAATGATCGGACCACGGGATGATGAATATGCTAGGGCCTTGTGTGTCTGCGAACGTCTTCTGATAAGATCTGTGATTTTGCACTCCAGGCTTAAATACCTGGAAATCAAACTGTTCGGTCACGGTCATTCTTAAAACCAGCTGGCTCGATCATTTATCCATGAACACTACCGATTCACACAATACATTGCGTCCTTAAAAAAGCATAGACTAGTGGCTTGTCTGTAAGTCAGGTTTGCACTGTTGTCTCTGAAGGAAGTTAAAATTACAGCACGTTAGTGTCAAGTCGGAATTGAACTGCACGGGACCTCAGTCAGTAAGTAGGTCGTCCCTGGAAGAAAGATATGATTACCATTCAGCATGAGCTGATCGCCGCATTCGCAGCACTGCTATCCAAAACACAGACGCGGTTGGATTTCCCCTTTAGAAGACTGATAGGGAAGTAAGTTAGCATGCACAATCGAACATTCAGTTAACAGGAGAGTTAGCGGACGTCTGAAGCGAATAGATAATGACTAAAAACGACTGTGAAAAACGAGGAAACAAATCCGTTTCAGGAGTACTAACCTGACCAGGAAAATCCGGTCGTATGGCCTGCTTCGTCTGAGCAATGATCAAGTGAAGGCGGGGTCTTTGGTTGCACAGCTTCATTTTGGTCCTTAGGCGAGAACTGCAGGAGTGGAGAAGACACAGACGAGCGAACCCCATCTCTGGCATGGTTCGACGAATGAGGCCAAATAGAAGCCACATAATCTAGTCTTACATGAATTGCAGAATTGATGACCGCCTCTTGGGCAAGTTTATCTGAGGAGTTTTGAATTAGAGGAGTTTGTAGGGAAGCGAGCGGAAGGGGCCTGGGCAAACCGGGTCCCGGCGGGCAATCAAAAGGTGCAACATATATTTGGCACTGTAGCCCCATACCCGCGACAGAAATTGCGTTAGCAACCTTCAGATCAAATCATAAAAAGAGAGTAAAATCAAAAGAAATGTTATGATACAAATGTCTCAATCAGTTAAAGTGTACAGAAAACCTCAGTGAGACCCCATACGAAATTTGTCACTGACGAAACAACAGAACCACCATATCAACGTTTATCTTACAATTAAAAATTAACTGTTCTTAAGATCAGCTTCATATGATAATAAGAATTGTCACGATGAGCAAATGCGAAGCTCTATCTCCTTAGATGTAACAGAAGGGAGGATCAGTCTGCCCAAAGCTTTCAAAAGTCATGAAGCAAGATAGAGTAGGTGCGCATTTGCACTCACTATTTTGGATTGCACTTTATTTTCAGACAATAAGAAGTCCACATCATATTTGCGCAGATTACGGGTTACAAAAGTAGTAGGGGTAATAGGGGATCCGTGTTACCTGATAAAACCACAAGACTCAAGGTTGGAAGGTGTTAAGTCCAGTCTGAGTGCCATTCCTATCAATGAAGGCTAGTGTGTAGGCCACGAAGACCCTCCTTAGACAGCCAAAGCAAATCTGGCTCTCCGTAATCGTAGTTCAGTTTTTATGTCTTTATTCATGCTTACTGATTGGGTCGAATAAAAATAACAATAATTGTTCAGTTATAGCGCCCTTTCGGTGACTATCTGCAATGCCATCCAAAGGAAGCAGGAGATCTGAGATCCTGTCAGGTTGCCCAAGCCTAAACAAGAGTAGACGAGATGACGAGGTTGGGATCGTCCCATGGATCCAGTTTCTTGTCGATGGCCATAGACAAGTAATCTGGTGATTCTCTCTGACTGTCATTATGATGAGCAAACTACTACATTACAGTGAGTGTCGACATCATATGCATTAATTGCCTGTGAAAGCGTCCTTGAATCACATTGAAAACTAATACTACGGGAATCACGTTTTGCTTCAAAGGCGCATTAAGTAGATTCACCTTGTATTGATACTGGTCTTCCGCATGATCAACATTACCAGCGGTACCTTCTTTCGATCGAAGAGATTTTTGAAAATTATTTTAGAAGTATTTATTGAGATAAATTAACATAAGGAATCGGTGCACGAGCCTCTCACAACCGAACCAAGGCGATTTTACATGGAAACGCGAAATCAGACTAATTATGGTGAAGCTGACAGCATGAGTGTCATTCTGATTGGCTGACAAGCATAAATTGCAATCTTTAGGTCAGTGTTGAGATAAGGTTTACACGGGGCGCATCTTAAAGATAAGCCACATCGAATACAAGAAATTATCGTATAGTACTCGGCAGATAAAGGCATTCTGTGCAGAAAAGTCACAAATATTGTCAATGCAAAGCAGCTCTTGGATGTTGCATTGCCAATCAAGTTGCTGCTTGCTGATGGAAAGTCCTGAGAGTACAGTGGTTTCGGGTGTTAGGCCAGTATACAGACGACAACACAGTCAAGACGGTTAGTAACTTGTCAGTTATGGAGGGGTGAGTCAGTGAAGTCCGATTGTGCGTCTGGTAGAATTTATTGCGTTTGGTTTTCTATCTTGGACTTGCTAAGGAGTTTCACTGCAGGCCACTGGACTTTTCTGATTAGTTTGAGCAGCTAATAAAACAATCTACCTTGTTATGGACCAAAACAGTGTTCTGATACACTAATGATGTGCAGTTATCAAATGAAATCAGGCAAAATTTGTTCCGCTGCCGTCTTCTCCTAGAATAACCTCAGAGTTCCCTTGATATAATTAAGCCGGGGGCTTTTTCCTCCCCGAATTACTTTTGCAACCGATTGTCGCATTGAGAGAGTTGACTTCAGAAGTGATCAGTAGCATCAAGACCAAACCATCACTTCGAGACAACGTCCAAATATACAGTCCACTGCAGCATGGGCCGACTAAACAACCTTACACTTGTTCGGCAGCTGATGTACCAAGTGACATGGACTACCCGAGTTCGTAGATGGTAAGGGCAATCCATTTTATCAAAGACAGTACGCTGATTGGCACTTACAGCTTGGCATGGCTAGCTTGAAAGTAATTTATTGAGGAGTTAAACAGGTCAAGAAATGAGAAGAGCGTTGGGATTCAATTACGTTAAGTTGACTATTCTTGTAACATCACAAAAGAAGGAGGGACGCATTTGAGTGCTCTTCCTTTAGATGAAATGTTCATTCACTTATGATTGCTTACGTTTTGAAATAGTCCGTTTTATGAGAAATCAGAGTGGCGATGGAAGTTGAGAGATCAACCGGGCGACTAGTACCTAGGAACCACACTAATATTCGTCTCTAAATACAATCAAGTGAGACAAATGAGTACTTAATTAAATGTGTGATTCATACATAGTTCCAATCTGTCAGTAACTCACCATGGCGAATTCACTTATGGAATCTCGTGGTATAGCATCACCGACGCCGGGTTGGTGGTTATTTGTTCGCCCGTGTTTGAGGTCCAGCTTAGGTGGTGAGCTGGTCACGCCTGAGTCGTCGAGCGGTATAAGCCTAGTAGGTGGTTCGAGTGGAGACAACGAAGAGTTTTCTTCGGACACGCACTGGCGAAAGACTCTTACCATTGCTACAATTGCATGAGCAATCGGGTGCTTTACAGTGGACTCTGCGCTGGCTAGTATGTACAAGAACCGACTCGGAGAAATGCATTCAGAGAGTTTTGGAAACACCGTCTCAGATGGGACAGTTTCTGTCTGAAAGGGTGAACAGGTCACGAGTTGAGTTTGGGAGGGAGGTATGAATAGACAATACAGCTTAGTTTTTTCTTTCAGAGATATTATAAACACCAGAGCAACAAAAGACTTGAATGTCCAAATGAATATCATTCTTTGACCTATTCGTTCACTGAATTTCTCGCAAATTGCATACGCAGCATAATTACTAGAGAGCGAATGGCTGACAGACAAATAGAAGTGGAATGCGAAACTACTAGAATAACTATCTTCGGTCATTTGCAGCTCCAATTGTTACCGCTGTCATGAATGAGGCATTGATCAGGCGTTTAGCCGAAAAATGGCGGATATGAAGAGAATGTGTGCGTGAAAACAATGTCAACACATGTCATATTGATATAACATGGTTTTTATGCAGGGAAAATGTGACTTTTCTGAATATTACTTTGGATGCGCATGAGTATCGGAAACTATAACAGTAAACCGTCGAGCAAGCCAGGTAGTCTGCCTCGAGGAACCTCACCAACCGATTACTATGGATTCAGTGTTGAGATGTAATAGCTTCAGCGTTTGTAAGTTAATACTTCCCACTAAGCACCGAATGAATTGTGGTTATCCAACTGATTTTCCGCTGACTATCGATTTCACCTTACATTAATGCTATTGTCAACAATTCCAGCCTGACGGCATTCAGTTATCGTACATTGTTGCTTATTAGCCAGTTCGAACCAATTCCATGAGCTCGAGAATATGGGATCTGTTTTGCTATGTTTATATGATGTTTAGATTCCTCAAGGTCAATCGTACGTTCATCAAAGCAGGTAGAAACTGAAAGAAAATAGTTGATTTTGTAATAATCAGTCAGCTATTTTGTATTCCTTAGATCATAATACGACAAGCAAGCAGAGTTAGTCTGGACGTTGAATTGATCCATTTAAGTGCCACGGCATTGACTGAAAGCACACGACACAGGCTGGCATTGCATTCAAGCCAAGGGCAGGGTAGTAAGTTCTACGGAAGTCCGCAAACTGGTGATTCGCTGGTATGCTGAATGTTGGTGTGGCACAATTCTTTCATGCAGACTTGTTGTTGGCGTTCTAGACGATTAGGTGCATCATCACGTAGATGCTTCAACGTATAAGGCATGGTGTCAACTTGTTGCAACGATTGACTCTGAATGAAACGCAGTAAACTCCATGCATTCTACTTCGGTACAGAGAATTCAAACAGCGAAAATGTACCTAAAAAGAACCAAATTAGTTAAACACCCATAGAAAGTAGAGTTCGTTTCTAAGAAGGCAAAAGCAAAGTAGGTCAAGTTGAAAGACAGCCGACATCTAAATAAACGACCAATGTAACTTCATCCAGTTTTTTGCAGTCAGGCTGACTTGAAGTGTGTGGTACCAGAGCACTGGTGTTTCATCCCTCGTTCTACAGCCCATCACCTACTAGCTGCACGGATTTTTTGGAAGCTGATTTTGTGATTGTGTGTTTGTTTGTGATATTGGGCGACCCACCACGGCGGTCGACCGCAGGCTTGCAAGTGCCCAAATGTGCATTGATTTGTGGCTGACAAAACTATGCAACTACATACCTGAATGGCAGTCGTTGAGCGTGTGGTACCAGGCACAAACATGACCACGTGTGTAACCTGTGGACGTCCTTGTGTGATCGTTCCGGTCTTGTCAAACAGCACAGTTGTCAGCTGAATGGCACAAGAGATATATAAGCTTATGTGTCGTTCACAAGTAGATCATAAAAAAGCTCATTCACATTCAACTAATAGGCCTACTGGATAATTCCGGATCAACAAATGATTGAGTCAACAGCGCATTTCCAAAAGTTCGGTCAACTTTTGAAAAAGATGCGTTAAGTCTTCGGTTCACATGATCAAGCACATTTTGAGAAAACATTGTAAGGAGTGGTAAACAAAGTTGGTTCTTTATTTGTAGAGAAAGTGTCTATCAAAATCCTTAACAGAGATTATATCTGGTGTATGCTGACACCAGTGATGACAAGGAGTCTCTTTTCCCTGGTTTTCGTAAACCCTTCTCACAGCATAGAAACCACCGCATTCAGCATAAATTCTATCCTCGTAACACGCGTGACTGCTTGAAACTTATTCATGAGCTCAGTGAAATCACCTACCTATTTAGTGGACATCAACACATACCTACGATATTTTGAGACTAACTTTAAATGAAAACATATTCAAAATGAGCACGAGGCTGAAATGAAGGTGAAGCGCTCCAGGCATTTGTCTTATCAGTGTTCTAGAAATAATTGCGTTCGATTCTTGCCAACATGCTTGTCAGTACTACCGGATCTTCTTAAATTGAGAACCTCGGATTCGATTATGCACGAACATCAATTTCTCAGTAAAATCTATCTATTGTCACTGATTGTGTTTAAGTTTTCACCCAACAAAGAACGTACTTTTCGCATGTTTTCCAATGGTTGGCCACCCTTAATGAGGATACCGGCCAGTGCTCCGGTTCCTGTCCCGACCATGACAGCAGTCGGCGTGGCTAAGCCCAAAGCACACGGACATGCAATGGTTAGTACCGATATGGCCATCCGAAATGCATGATCAACGGCCAACAAAGTTATAGTACAGCCGGGCTGGAAAGTCACAAGAAAGTATCAAAATACATTAAATATTTGGAGCAGATTGTAGAAAAGCAGTGAAAAATGTGCCGATTGTAAATCCAACGAAAAAGAAAAAGTGAAGTTATAAGGTAAGTGACAGTCAAGCTTTCCTACAATGTAAAGCTACCTTACTCACTGATCAACAGAACGGGTATTTCTTAATTCAAGTTATTCTAAAACCAGCACAGGAGAGAAGTGAAAGGATATGACACTGGTCTCAAAACTAGTGCACGATTATCCTGGTTTGTGTATGTTTAAAAGAGGAACATTCGATTCTATTTTCATTCTTCCAAAAGTTAATCAAAGCTACATCTCTGGCCTTGACTAGTTTGAGGTGGGTCACACACCGTGGATACATCTGGATCACCTCACAAGAACAGATAAACACAGCTGTACTTGAATGGCGCACACATAACAAAATGCACAAGCCGTTCCTCTCTACTCCGCGGGAATGATATCATTTGCGGCCTTGTTATGCCAGAGTCTGTACCTTTAAAATATAGCGCCTGACGCACAGTAAAATATGTCTGTAAATCTGCCCTAACGGATCGCATTCTCCTGTTCTGGCACCTAGTCGAACCATTCTTTGAAGATATCACGGCGGACGGTATAAAGTAAAATGTGTCTCCGAATCTAGCCATGCCTTGAGCTGAACTCCACTGTTGAACTGGAGCAACAGCGCACGTCATCCTGAAGGTTGCCATTCTCTCTTAGAATTCCGGGTCGAGTGAGCATCCGATCATCGAAGCATACACAGCCACCGACTTCTTAACATTGTTTAGTGTTCAGACTAGTGCCCTCAAGCCTTATCACTTCAGTTCAGCAGCGATTCAAAATGCCTGCAGGCGGGGTAGAATGATAAGGACTTCATACTTGATAAGCGAACGATCGTATTCCAATTTACACTTGTCGATCTACTATCTAACTGCGTACAACGAGAATAATATGGTGATTAAGTTCGTGAGCTATGAACTGTTGAAGGCACGACAGTGAAGCGTCGGGGTTCAACACTGATGTCATGCTGTCAATGATGATGATGACCGTTGAAATTCTCTAATAAGGACGAAACAGATACAAGTGGTCTCGGCTTTTCGGCTTTCCACACCAGAGCAACCCCAAAATCGTTGATTGAAGAATGCAGACTCCCGTCATTGTGTTAAACGTAAATGACTTCTGTCGGTGGATCCATCTTTTGTAATTTAAACTCGTATTCCGGTGCCTGGGTGGCACGAAAACCTATTCATTTGCTGGTCGAACCATGACCAGAATCTCAGAATTGTTAATTTTTTTATTTTACCCTTTGCGTGAAAAGAGGTCATGAAAGCGACCTGGTGTTAGACTATGTTTGCATCATTTAGCACGAGCTGTCTATGAGGATTATGGTGTATTCTTATTGATACTGGATTCTCGGCATCGGCATCGCGTAAATACTTTGACATTCGGGAAGAAACCTTTATGATAGATCAGAAGGGTGACCGGAGGAATAAGCTCGCTTTCTGAGAGATAAAGACCAACTGGTCATCCCCGTAAAACAGGGCTCACTGTCATATACTTTGGGATACGACGATATGGCAGCGGTACAAACACATCGGACTAACACTGAATAATCTGAATGGCAGTTTTAGTTTCTGAATGAACATCCAAGGACCAAAGAAAACAACCTTAGTGAAATCCCAGCTAACAATGTCAAATCTACATGATAATGCATTCAGTCACACACAACGGAAGACGAAACTTTGGGGAATTCAAGATACCTCATAACCCAAGATGGTATGCGGTTGCAGCATCCCCAACACGATCCAAATCAGAAACGTTGCCAAGGAAACGCAGCAGACGAACGGCACAAAATAACCGGCAATGCGATCAGCAAGCTGTTGAATTGGAGCCTGTGGTGGGTAAAGGATAAGACGAAAGTATGGAGTAGTTTGTAATATAAACATCCCACAATTTTGCTGATTTTCGAAATAAAGCGAGTGAAGGGATTGTTGTGCAGGATGTAAATTCCAGATACTAATCTCAAACGGTGGGATATTTCTTTCATCCAAACTGATATGAAGATGGAATCCACGATTACGTAAAGGTGAACAGACTTCAGAAACCAGATTTCTCCCTTTAAACTTCAAAATGATAAGAACCACAGAACAGTAAGAAATACGAGAGTTTATACGTGAGATGGAAACACGCTACTGAGCATGGCTCCGAACGACGAAGAGAAGCCAGCTGCCATGATTTTTCACGATAAACACAAAACCGGACCACTCAGCGATGTCGTAACTGCTAGACACAGGAATGAAAACCGATCATAAACTACCAGAGTTTACACCTCAGCATTCGAAAATCTAACGGCTGGTTTGAACCGCCGATTTTTTTAGTCAACGGTTTGCACCTTGCTCACGGAACTTCTGCATTATCCACTATCAACAGAGAAAGCAACAGCAGCGTTTGCATAGATACTTTACACTGTAGGGCCACAAAGTTTATATAACTATATCCAAAGCAGTAAAGTGAAAAAGCAGACGTGAGTGGATGGGTGGAGGGTCTGATGTCAGACCTCCACGAGAATTTTGAGGTTCCTTTACCATCAAGCACTCAATCAGACAAGCTATGAAGAAGTTGACAGCACAAAGGCAACTGACGGCTATTAGTTGCTATTCCTCGCAATGTCTGCAGCTAAGTGCAGGGGTTCAAGGGAATCCCATCTTGGAGGTTGGATCGAACCGACAACATCCAAACTTGTCGTAATCTCTTTCACACTTTTCTGCAAGCTACGAGTTGCACCATTCTGAAGGAGGCGCGGAGAACAACGTTTTCTTCCGCAGACGATGCTTGGGCTTCACAGCACACGGTCGAACGACCGAAGCGGATGGTGCCGGATGTTTTCCGTGACTGAACTACTTGGCCCACAAACAAATACCAGTTTTTCAATTACCTCGTTACGAATCTGATGACGCCATCTAACACCAACACCACTCCGGAGACATCGGTGCTCAAAAAACTGACGGAGGCCTCACTTAAGTTGTCTGTGGATCCGTGGATCATACAACGACACAGCCAGTACGACAGCCTGACACACTTTGGGACTCAGTGATTTGGGTTATTGACGCCACAAGTGACGCAACTTCACAAAACTGATTCACGCAGCTGAGCTTTTGTCCACTGACTTGATCAGATACTTCCATCAATCCAACTCCGTAAACAGTGAGCAACATAGCACGTGTACTGGAAGTTAGAATTCAGAGAAGAGGTCGGTGCTCGGAGAGCTCAGTCTACTAATCTGCAGATTACTATAAGCAAAGGAGTACTGGGATGATGTCCGGTCGCAAACTGATCAACTGGATTATCTCCGACATCACAGTTAAAATCATGCAACAAAAACTTAGATGCTGTTCATGTCAAAAGTTGGGAAGAGCCAAAAGTCTTAAAAGCAATAATTTTTACTTGCGCTAAAGTCATCAGAGCAGGGCCGATTACCACAAAGCAAGCAAATGGTTTCTATTTTTACTTTTTTGTTCCATGGAAGGTAGTGCAGTCATTCTGCCAAAAGGTGTCTGATTTGGTTGAAAAAACTTACCTTAGATGTCTGAGCTTCTTCAACCAGACGTACGATTTGTGCAAGGGCAGAATCATTTCCAACGTGTGTCGCTTCAGCCCACAACACATTGGTTAGGTTAATGGCGCCACCGATCAACTCAGAGCCTGAAATACAGACGATACATGAACGTGTGGAAAGGCAACAAATTTCTCAGTCGGCTCGTGATTCCTACTGGCGGAATGAACTTGGTGTTCGTAGTGAAAAGTGATAGATTCACCGTGTTCTCATGAAGGAATTTATCTTAGAAATCTTGAGATCCCCATTTGTATAGATGATTCCGAACAATGGTGTCAGTAACGACAAAAGGTGGTTTATTTAACACTGCTCACAAATCAGTGGGTGGGCTTATCCTGTATTTTGACACCTGGGTGGCTAAAAGCTACTGATCTCAGCATCGCATTTGGTTAGTAGGTCAAACAGATTGGTTTTCATGACCAAATATCATGGATCCGCTAGACGACTCAGAGGAATTTACAGAGGGAAGAAAGGTGACGTAGAAAGCTGCTTACTCCATAGTCCATTGCAAAAACGACTGACTGAAGGGAATAATTGATGATACAAAGAAATCCTATGACAAAGTTTCACAGCTTGTTGTCAATTTAGGCTTTAGAGCCCTGGAGGATTACGGGCATATCCCGATCCCAGGACGTAGCGCAGATTTAAAGATTTAATGAATATTTAAGTGTATGTTCATCTACCAAACCCCGACACTGAAGCGAAAATCTCCGAACAACTACAGAATGATCTCTACCAGACACATGAGTATAACAGTCTCGTCACAACCGGAAAATTAAGCGTTGGTGCGTGGCCAGAGCCAACACAGTTACTGGAACCACAAAGTTAGTGTTGAAAGGACTGGTAGAATCATAGATGTAAATCGGACAACCAAAGACGACAGAATAAACAGTAATTAGAATGACTGTAGAGCTGGAGTACCAATCAAGCCTGACTATGCCGATACAGGTCAGGATGTTGCTTTATACCATTAAAATTCTCTTGGTGATAAACCTACCTGCAGTTTGGTGTACAAACTGATGTAGTTGTCGAACTTCACGCAACTTTGGTTCGAGTTTAACATAATCGGGGACCGCGCCTACCTGATGAGCCCCAAAGAGGACTAAACCGGTCGGGAGCTGTTGAAGAGTTTTCAACAACCTTATACGCTGATTACTTCAAATGCATTTTGTTTGACGATCGAGAAAAAGCTCGGAGTAGGTCGACTACTACCTAAATTCTCCGCTGTATTAGGAATTTGCTCCTATATTGGAATTGGCATGAGACCAGCGGGCCACAAGATATGCATCCTACACTCACCTAGCCAATTTTTTCATGAAGGAGGAGATCGCTTCAGGTACACAATCGAGGGACTGTTTCCTCCATCCATGTTACCCTCGTGATGCCTGGCGCTTTTAAGCGACCGACTATAACCGTCAGTTGGCGCTACAAAGACCATGTGGCAGTGACACTAAAAATTCCGAAGAATCGCCAATAGAGAATACCATGAAGTTATGGTATATTAAATCACGACGTCTGACTAGTAAAAAGACTCCATTATGAATGACAGTGTCGAGTGGGAGAGGAGTGGAAAAACAACTCGTTAATGCCCACACCAGTCCATAAAATGTTATAGCGAGTAGTAGCTTGATGAAGGTAGGTAACATTTAGAATATGATTTGTTTATTTTTAAGATCCCTAATCTACCCTATGTGAAAATTCACTAGGTGCTCAGTTTCCAAGTGTAAACAGATTAGTTTTGACTGAACCACATCGTTTGGTGACATGTTGATTAACAAGTGCCGTAGACTAGACCTGTGCGCTGATTGAGATTTGGGTAAAATGCGATGACCACCATGACTCATGTAACTCAGATTTTTCTGTTCGAATTTTACCCCTTCACTAACAATTTGTACGTGATCATTACAAATGGCATCCTTTCCCGGAACGGCTTTGGCACAGTGTGGCATAGCCAGGATCACGGTCAAATAAAAGGAAAGACGCCATTTACCGAGGACAGATTAACAGTGAGCCAGCCCAAACATGAGCGGTAGTTACGAAACAGAGAGACGGATGTGCGGTTGAGTGTAAATGAATGGTCGGTTATATACGTTGTCATAAGCATCCGCCTCCTACACACAGCTGACAATTCAGAGAGTTGAATGAAACCATCGCCATAACAAGTTGAACACGTGTATCTGGCAAGTTGGGCCCCTGTCTTCCAGACAACTTCCCTCTGTGTATACAAAAGGATATAGTAGCAAACTGCTTGCAGCACTCATATAGAACAGCTAAAACGAAATATGCACCTGGTTGTTTGTCCACAGGCATCGACTCGCCCGTAATCAGTGACTCATCACAAGCTGAGTTCCCGACTAGAACTCGCGAATCAACGGGGACTTTCTCACCGGGACATATCTGAAAAAAGAGAAAAAAGAGAAAAAAGAAAACACTATTATTCAGAGATCCGGCGTATTGACGCAGGTTAGAGTTTAGATATGAGAAAATGTCAGTGTGAAGAGCTTGCCTCTGTGTCGCTCAGCAGAAAAGGTTGGAATAATGCAATCAGCGAACATATTACTGGGTGATTTCATTTGACCACCCTACATCCACATAGCAGTTATAAGTAATTCAACCAGCAGGAATCCAAAATTATATATACTTATAGATTATATATACAATGTATATGTATCATATATTATCCAAACTTTTGTAATTTTATTCCAGAGAATCAGAATTTGGCAAATGTTAGTTAATCGGCGTTTGCGGGAAGCAATCGAAGAGAAGTGCGGTATATTTTTGCCTCTACCTAGTGACTAATTTGGTTAAGAATGCATATTTTTATCAGAAAATGATATGTATTTGACAAAGTGGTTCAAATATAAAAAAAACGCAAAGGGTTTGTAAAAAGACGTATCTGTCTCCCAGTGCTTCCAACCGAAACTTCAAACTCCAAACTAGCTGCATTCTTGGGACCCACAGCAAACCGAAGCAGTCCAGTACAACTGTAGGGTTAAAGTCTGATTAATTTACTCCTTCCGTGAGCTTTTCTTACGTGGTCCACTAAGTTAGTCATAAATAAAGCTGGTCCTGAAGAGCCGCTAAGCATTCTCATTTGAATGGTTGATGCAGTCTAAACACGTGTATCGATGACCGAGAAGTTAGGTTGGCTTGTTCGCAATCACTAGCCCTTCGAGAACTTTAAAATGGTGGCTGAATGAAAAGCAGCATAGCCAAAAGAGTCTGAAGCAAACATTCGGTACAATATGTAAGCCTAAGCAACAGTCCTTAGATGTCTCATTGGTAAGTGAGGCGGTGCCCGCGATTAGTCACCTGTTCTTGACGTAATACTACTGCGCATTTAAGTTAGAATGGTTAGGTAGCTCCGGAATGTGTAGTCCTAAGCACAATAAGTACACGCAAGCTTAATGACAGGAAAAGTAGACCAGACATACCATAGCTCATAAAGAACCATTAAGCGCGTGCGTGCCCTTAGGCATTGATTGTGGATGCCACAGCCACTGTTGTCGTGGGTTCGCAGTCCACCATGCACCAAGTTCACATGTAAAAACAAGTGGTATATTTGATATGTCGGGAACAGACAAAATTAGAAGGTTACTGGAGTGCTAAGAAGAAAATACCGTCGATTTAACACCCCCCGCGGTCATGTTGTTAAGTAGAATCTGAAACTTTCAACAACCCGAGGACTGACAGAAAAGTTTTACCGAAGAATTCGTATAGTGGGTTAGCATCTGTTTCTGTACTCGCCTGCCACACCAATCTCCCGCGAACGATAAATGAGGTTACAGGCGGTTTGTACTGAGCCACATGAGAAAACAACTAAACGTCATACACTTGACGTACATTTGAGGGAATAAGGCCAAGCAGGAGGAGACAGTTCTAAAGATACCTACGGAAATACGACCAAATTGGCCGCAGATCCATTTTATGTCTCAAAATCGAACAACTACAAGGGAACCCTTGCATCTAAAATCCATTTCATCAGCTTGAAGTTGCTGATCATTAAGCTGGGGACACTTTTGCGTATCACTTCCCTCCAAGCCGTCCTCTTCTGTGTCTGTGCTTCTCACGCCATGAAATTTGCGTTCATAGCCTACGGAATTCCGGCCAAAGCACCTAGATTTTGAAGGGTTATCCTCTAGCGTTGATCAGTTGACCATATGGAAACTACTTCGGAATCCTGTAGCTCACTTTTTTTCTAATACATCAAAGTCATCATGGACGACTGAGCATGCTCGTAGCTTTCATCCCCCCATAATGTACCCATAATATGGCACCAGTTCCGCCCAAATGATGCTATTTAGAAGCCTCAGGAATCCAAAATGAAATCGGCTCAGATACAGGATGTTGCATCGGCACGTCGCTAGCGTTTTTTACACGGCACCGGAGAACAGATTAGTGTGGAGTCACAGGTTCCGGTTCGTCTGCATTGGTGTCCCGATTCACCATAAGTCACGCGTGGCTTTAGGCTACGATCAATGGTAAACGGACCATGTGTTATCGAAGCAGGGGAAATCTGCACAGTAGTTACCAACCTCAGTTCCAGCATAGAGGCAAGGAGGAATGCTGAAGACCGAAACCAACGCACGTCGATGGATAACGAGAGTTGTCTTCTAGTTAATGCATGGAACAAAGTGCGCAGTAGTAGACGCAAACTACCCGCCCAGGCATTGCAGTTCACAAAGCGTATGTGGCAAAGCGTATGCAAAGCAAAATGCCAACAAACCGCATTAGAATGCGTACTAGAACTGTTGCTCAGAAAAGTCGATTCCATCACGTGAGTTAGACGCAGACTGGACAGAGATAGAGCGGGGAGCACATCTCTCCATTGCGAGTGGAAATTTCAGGCTAATCGTTTGGATCTTCTCCTCACCCCGATACCTAGACTTCGGACTAGATTCACAAGTTTTGGCGGATAGACTTAACTTGAAAGAATCATCCATAGCACTTCCCAGTTGAAGGAATCGATAGTCCCTGAAGTCTAAGATGGGATGAGCAGTGACCGAAGATTTTCGGCAGATGGTTCTGAAGGCTGTCATGCCGGAAATACTAGGTTCATTGTGCCATGTTTAGCAAAAAACCGCATTCTTATTTGGCGATGTGTGGTTTGACTGCTTAAGCAGTGAGGCGGTTTAATAGCACTCCTCCAACATGTTACCCGCACAGTTGAGCGGGCTGATGCCTCTGTGGTTTTTCGGTGAAGACTCACTTCCTTTTCCTTTGTACAATCTCACCATCAAACATCTTTCAATTCAGATAATACCCGCACTTTATGGAGGGCGATGTTGATTAGTTGAAGTTTCTGGTCCAAAGTCGTGCCACCAGACTTGTGGAGTTTTGCTGCAAGCAGGTCTTTCCTAGATGCTTACCATTCTAGAACTGCAAGTTTGTTGGCCGTATCCGTTCAATAGACAAACAAAAGTCTATCTGACAGAGTCTACCCAGTACAGCCCAGTCGAAATTCGTCGGTCGGTTCATCAGTTCGTTGGTGCACTTTTGCCAGGCACTCATTATTTCGGCTTCAGTCCCGTGTCAGCATCCTATAGGATTTGTGTCGGACTGATGTGGAAAAAACCTGAGCACGAGCTGTTTCGCACTCTAGCTGTTATCTTCAAGCCCTTCAATGCCTCATGGTAGTAGTATTCCGATCACCCTGGCTGCCATTGTCAGTATTCGGTGCTTCTGCTTCTGCATGGCTTCTATTAACGCGCTTGATTATTTGAAGTCTTTAGATCGAGAAGCTACCTTATTTTGGTCGATCAAACCGATTTTTGGATCCTTCAGATATGTTACGCCAAAATTTATGCGTGAAACTTTGTTGCTTTCTGCTGGGCAAGGAGTTGCGTGTGCACTTTGATCATTGTCATGATTCCATTTTTCTCCTATAAGGAAGCCGATTCAATAGTTGTATCTAGTAGCAGCTTTTTGAAAAGCTCTTGATCATTCAACAATGGTTCATCCAAGGTTACGTATTACTTCAGTTCGATTGCAACTAACGCCTTGGAGGATGTTTGACTTCGCCATCAGTTTGATTAATCAGTGTTCCAACGTTCTGCAAGCGTTCTGAAGCCCAGTATGGAGGACAGTGTATCACTGTCTGTCTTCAACGGATCGTGTTTTAGACAGATAGTCCCGCACTGACGGATGATCCACTTTTCCAACGTCACAACGTCAACCCGGAGTAATCTAAGGTTGAATGGTCGTCTGAAGCAAATAATGGACTCTCGTTTTGATACGTATCAAGAAGTGTAAACGCGTGGCACACAATGGACAACTTCGCAGTGAAAAAGCAGACTTTTGAAGATCAAGTTAGACAAGATAAACAATAAGTAAGTGGCGATCTATTCCAGTGTTTAAACAGGTTCATGAGAGACAATGGAAAGAGGCATATGTTTTAGAAAGAATTTCGATATTTTCCATTTCTAAGCAATTCTTAGTTGAATGTGTAGCCTAAATGTGAGGAATAAGTAGTTCCGACCAATCAGCAGTCATAAAGTAGAAAGCCAGGATGGTACCGTTTTCCCCCCGGCTATTTTTTGTTTTTCTTCGACCCAGTGCTTTATCCGATGCCTAAATAATTAAAATTTGACAAGAGGCACTTTCATCCTACTTACTGAATAATTATGGAATACGAGCATTGAAAACAAAATGATTCATTAATTTTGTTGAGGGAATTACTGGCTGAAACCATGAAGTTCACACAATCAGGTACGACATTCAAACGTGCGTAAATGCCACAATGGTCTCATTTGAGGCAGTGTGAAATATTGGCTGACCTTTATAATATCCCCTCGATGAACAAGTTCGACTGGTATCCTTTTTTCCGTCGCATTCGTATAGATGTTCTCCGTGATATGTTGACTTGCTTCGTTGTGTGATTGTGTTTTAGATACGATTATGGACGCTTCTGTTGGTTTTAGAGCCAACAGTTTTGTCAACGCCTCCGAAGTTTTCCCCTAAATGGGACGAAAAGATGCACAGTCCAAATTAAAATCAATTAGCGGAGCTGAAATCTCAGATGGAAGCATTGAAGATAACAAAGTCGTCGTCAAAGTGGTCGGATATGATATTGACCATGGACGTAAAACCGATAATGCAAAGAATTCATCCGCCTATTCAGCCCATAACTAGTCTACAAGTTGAGATACTGCGAATGTTTGTGATTAGGGGGAAACTAGAGGAACGAAGGAGAAAGCGACGGACTGTTGCAGTAGCATACGGTAGTACGGCTGAATAGCCGATGTGTATGACAGCCTGTGAACAAGGTGCGCAGCATTCCCGTCCAACGTTTCGTTGTAAAACCTTCGAATCTGACCTATAGTCTCAGCTGTTGCGGCTCCAACCAAATTGGTCAACATATACAAGAGCAGGTCACTGAAACAAAGCCATTCATTAGTGTTCTTCCAAAACTTATCACTGTGCCAACATACACCGTGGATTAAAGGAAGGCGAATAAGTTTCGTTCGTTTGAAAGCTATAAACCCGGTATCATGTGGATTAGCTTGACGGCCAGTGGACGCCATGATAAGGTGTTCGGATTATTGGAAACAAACAACATAAAACGCTGGCCAGGTGAACGTTAAATCATGGTTTACAGGGCAGAAATGGATTCATCAAGCTCGTTGTTAATATTGGTGACCTGAAATCATCCAATAAACATGAACTCCCTACAGCACGTAAATGTATTTGACCGATGAAGCCAAAAGAAGGCCTCTGGCAAATTTATCGACACCACCTCAACATCTGTAGTTAAATCAACAACCACAAACTGTGTATAGACTGTCATCACTAGTTCGTTCATCACAGATGATGAAAAACATTTGGTGCACGGGTGGGAAGTGGCGATAGGCGACAATCGTGATAAGTCTCGGTGTTTCCGCAATATAGACAAAATATACCGTTTATGGAGATGATCCCCTAGAGTGACCAATTCTCAAGATCATCGTAATCAGTGATAGCAACACCTGAGGAGAACACTGGCCTTCAGTGCCGTACAGCCATGCCCATTTATTTCAATAAAGCCTTCTAATGAAAAAAGAGGAACCGGGGTAGAAGGACGATCCATGGCTAGTCTACAACAAAAATCGGAAGTGCCTACAGCTCAAAAACTAAAAAGGTGACAGCATGAACGCAACTGGCGTCGGTCAGCCGCCATTTAGTTATGTCTCCAGCCAGGCAAAGGAAGTCACGTTTTTCCATCCTGGAAGGAGAACACCACAAACAGCAACAAAGCTGTTCATCCCTCCTCCATCTCCCTCTACTCAAACTAAGTTCATTTCTAATTTTCCGCCACTCCAAATCAGGCACGGAAAGAAGAGCTCGTTTCAGCAGGCGGTAACTAAATCTGAGTAACACATGGCCAGGCCACCTTCGCTTGTAGCGCTAGATGCGTTGTTCGAGAGAAATACTGCCTGACTTATCAAAGACCCGTTCCATGGTAACCGCATTGCAAACTCGTCTGCCCCAGCCGACCGCAGCCTCAATTCAGACACATTCGTGGTCAACGACCTGAAAATGTCTCAGATCATGGGTCCGAGGTGGCCAGGTCACGCCACCGTACAACGATGCAGTCCGCACTGTAGTCCGATGTGCCTTCTTAACGCCACAAAAGCATTTCAGGTGTTTGAGAGTCGTACACTCATTTCGTCTGCCACAAGACCATCAGATCTAGCCAAATGAAAAGCAATCCGCCGCTCTACGAAGCTTTGGCAGTCCGCTAAGGAAACATAGGAACTACAGAATAGTTCACAAAATCTCTCACTGTCGATTTTTGCTTTCTGCTTATGATTTCAGCCAATCTACATTACACTGGAGGTGCGTCAGTAGATGATACACCGAACTGTTTTCCGCTTTCATTTGTGCAAACTTTACGCTCAATTATGCCTACTTGAGTCACATGGCACCATAGAATGTGATACAGCCTGAAAAATCAGCAGTGAGTCGTAACCAGCCCCTAAATTTGGCCTGAAACTTATCACGCATACCACCTTCTAAATTTAGCGTGTGGCAATCATAAGGTCACAGTAGAGCTGAGCGCATTTCAAGTTTTCGCTAGACTCAATTGTAAGTTAGTGTTAGCTGTCGTTCGTGTCTAACTGAGGCCTGAGATTTATGCGACGCCTAACTTTTTAAGGAGCCACGCCGGTGTCACTAGATTTTAAGCTTTAAGTTGTCATTCCACGATATGCAATTTTTGTTGGGTTCATTATGCTTGACCGAATTTCGATTACTAAGAGGATAATTGCTATAAATGGACATCTCTCTAGATAGGTAACTATTAAACAACTGAGCTTTTATGGTGTCTTGAACAGGCACCGTCACTCCTCAAAACTCACTGAAGGAGCAATCTGATGCACCACTGACGACACCTCAGTGTGCGATGACCACTACTCAACGTATGTGATGTATCTGGCCCATCAGCAACTAGCTATAACTATTCAGAGTTATTTAATCACAAGCAGGATGCTTGATATAAACGAAAGACGAACACACCTCAGACTCTCTTGGGATGATAGGTCCATCCAGGAAAACAGCTAAAATAATACACGAACCACTGATCGCGTAATACAATTATCGAAAAACGTATGGGGCCCACCATAGATGAACTTGGACCTATTAAAGGACGGTATATAGAACCAGTGGGGTTTAGTAGATGTCATCGTCTAAGCACGTGATGCTTTTTGCGAAATGCTCTAAGAGGAATAGAAAATGACCAAGGTGTGTCCAATTGTTCAGAGATGCACAAACCTTTGCAATGTGTTCCAACCACCGACCCAGGGAGACGAAGACGAACAACATAGGAGAGGTCTCAAATACCGTACGTGGACTTGTTGGCCATTGAAAAGCAATTGCGATAAGGAGGATAATGACAGAATATAGGTAGGCTATAGTTGTGGCCATGACAATCAGAACGTCCATATTGGCCATCCCGTGCGATATCGACTTGTATGCTTGCACATAGAAATAGCGTCCACCAAGTGTCTGCAGGTGGTAAGAAGGAAGACAGGTAGATGGTAAATCTCGAAACAGAAATATCGTCAAAATACGAAGGAAAGTACGGATGGACCAGAATATTACGAAGAACTGCGATCACCAAGAAAATGGGTAAACCACAGTCTACAGTGTGAGTAAGAATGATCAACAGAAGGCAGGGAAAATCCAAGTGTAGCTCTTACAGGCTCAACAGAACCCGCACGTTCACACATCGACCCGACCACATAGAACAACAATGACTATTCGAATGTTGACACTAACTGGTTCATACCTTTTTGTTTGTCCGCGGTGTCAGAAAGCTTGAACCGAAAATTGCGCTCAAAAGCTTTCTTCTTCTTACCGCATCGATTGAATTAACAAGCTAGGGCATAGCAAAACTTATTAGCAGGTTCTAGGTAAACTAGTATTACACCACTACATTCGGATGGACGATATTAACGGCACAAATGTCCAAACGGCTGTCAAATACTCGAAGCAGATAATGAGTATTGAACATTTTGCGGCACACAATGCTCTCGGCTGAGTGGGCATCAGGTAGTACCAGTGGGAACTTATGACCCGGCACCGCTACTATTACCTCTTGCCAAACCGATTCACCGGCGTACACTGTTCAAGAAATCTCGGCGAATAACTTGCCGACCTATGGTCCAGGTAACTTCCCTCAGGCGAGGAGTTACTACTGATGTCCCTCCAGATCACCTACAGTCCGCCGAACAAGCATAGTTAAAGTCCAGCCAACATTATACGCCGAAGTCGCGTGAGTGACTTGGTATCTTGTGCAGCGCACTGGTTCTAGGGCTCAGACAACATGGCTCAGGGATTCAGAGTAACCAGTTAGCTCTGAACAATGCTCAGGCAGTCTAGCCTCCGACAAAGAGCTACAATGTACAACCAAACCGAACGCTGCAGTAAAAAGTAATAGGTTCGAAAACATGAGCTTGAAATGGTCACGACACTGGCCTATCAACTAGCAACGAACAACAACCTGAGTTTTTTCTGAAATTCACAAAAAACAGTACGTCGCAATATATATATATATATATATATATATAAGTCCAGCCAACATTATACGCCGAAGTCGCGTGAGTGACTTGGTATCTTGTGCAGCGCACTGGTTCCAGGGCTCAGACAACATGGCTCAGGGATTCAGAGTAACCAGTTAGCTCTGAACAATGCTCAGGCAGTCTAGCCTCCGACAAAGAGCTACAATGTACAACCAAACCGAACGCTGCAGTAAAAAGTAATAGGTTCGAAAACATGAGCTTGAAATGGTCACGACACTGGCCTATCAACTAGCAACGAACAACAACCTGAGTTTTTTCTGAAATTCACAAAAAACATATATATATAATATATATATATATATATAAGCTTTGGACGTAGAAAAAAGTGAACCAAAGAGATATTGCCAAGGTGCGCCGATTAACAAGCAGAGTAGTCCGAGAACAACCATCGAAATCCACCTGAATCAATGCGGATGAGTTACAGTTATATTCGCACGAATTGATGGTCAAATGCGGAATGAGATGCAGGCAAGGCTAGTTAAAATGCCCGGTTGGGACACTTGTGAGCATGAACACTTAAATAGACAAGATTTGTTGAAACGCCCTGAATAGTGTGATTGAATGATTCGATTAAACGAGACCTGACAATATGGTGTACCCGGTGACACAGCTAATAAATTACGTAGGAATTGCTCTCCGGTACGGACGTCTGGTCGTGAGTTCTAAATAGTTCATTCCATAGAAATAAGCAAGTAGGTGAAAGCAGTTACAAAATCAGAACATCCGGCTTCTACCTGCTATTACTCAATGTGGTATTTATAAAGTATACGCCGATGACCAGCGCCCCAAATGTAACGAATAACTAAATTCGGCGGAATGACCAACACCTTTCACTAAAGCCAACCCGCACGCACAGTTTAACCTGGAAATGGAGAAACCACTGCAGGTTTAACCCTGGAATAGTGAAAACATATACTAAATATCTTTCTACGGGAGGGAAAAGTAAGCTGAGGCTTTTGTGGAAACGTATTCTGAGTATATTCACGTAAGATAAGTTCATTGGAGAGATGATGGTTTTAACAAATGTGTTTGTAATACTTCCAGACACGAAGGTAAAAAAAATTCGATTAAAGCTGCACTTGTATCACCAATTAAGAAAAAATCAATCCACACGAAATTATTACGTATGAAGAATACATTAGCTAAGTCATTGGTATGAGACTTCACTACGGCACTCAACAAAACATTAGTCGATTGAAATTCGTCCCTATACTATTTTTTCAATCCAAACGGTTTGATTGTACGACAACTCTGTTTTTACCATGTGGAGTATTCCTGCATGATAAACCACAGGGAACGCACGACAAGAATTTCATGCGCACCGGAGAACCTTAGTCCACATAGGTGTATGCCGGAGTCACCAAATACACCGAAAGTGTCGTAGTGGCACATCTCGTTTGATCATATCATTCAGTCATTGTTTCTACGGCGTTTCAACATACCTAATGAATGAATGAATGAAAGAAACCCATCGGCACTGATAGTGTCCATAACTGGGACAATAAGCATTTTCAGTGTTCAGTTGATTTGTCCATGCTCAGAAGCGTCTCATCGAGGCACTGTAATTAGCCTGAATTGCTTCAATCCAGTATTTGACCCTCGACTTCTCTTTTCCATGAGTTGATGGGGCTGCTTTGCTAACTAAATGACGTCCTGAAAACGAACGTGTATTCATGTTTCTTCGTTTTCTTTTGTTCTACTTTGATGAACTTGACTACATTTAGCCTGAATGCTGTCTTCGAAACCAAGGTTGTTCGCTTTAGGTTTTTTTTACATGCATCATCAGGGGATTGTGCAATGAATATTTGTGAGGTATTAAGATTTTATACTTTCAACGAACTAACATATGGCAGCTACGTAATCCGTTCTAGATGTGTAACTCCCGTATTGGTCACAATGGTGTGGGGGGGGGACGATAAAAGTGGTGATTATCCACATCAGATTCAACTTTTGCTCACCACAACGCGGTGAATGAAACCATGGTTAAAGATACATTAAGCTCCAGGGTTTAGAAAAATATGGGATAAACTGTGTTATATGGTGGCTTGTTCACGGTTCGTACCATTTATCTAGAAATCAGATGCGGACCTAACACAACCATACATATAATTATCTTCTGTGGTGCTTGAGGGTTATGACTAACTGAAAATCTTTACCACATTGTTATCCGAAGGGAATAATGGTCAGTTACTCTATGTTTGCTCGTTTACACAATTATTCTGAGCTGATGTGCGCTCCATCAGTCATGTCGACAGAGAATTCCGGTGAACCAGTGCGGAAAGACGATAATAGTCACGTAAGTAGAAGAATAAAGAGAAACTTTGACACAGACAAATCTAGAATGGAATAAATAATGACGCATATGTTACTGTCCACTGGTACGTGTTCGCTTAGGATCAAGTCTGAGGTAATGAGTGAAGGTCCCTTTGTTCAAAAACACCATGTCGACCAAAAATAGCTTAAAAACCAAAGCACCATTTCTGGGGTGGCCCAATTTTCATATCCACCTGGTGTATCAAAGTCCGTGTATACAATGGTCGATAACTGAACGCCATAGATCAACCTAAAACCAAAACAAACGATCATGGTCAGTTGGACCACCATGGGTCCGTCGAACTAGCTTAGGTGGCTTTGTCCTATATGGTGGAAGAGAATCAAAAGGTGTGCTAGGTCTAGATAAAGTTAAACATCGAAAAAGGGGAGATCGTGCGAAAGTCAAATGAAGATGCAGAAAACGACGAGTGAAAAGCGCGCACAACGAAACCAATTTTATTCAGCTTAAGAATGAGTGCGTTCGTACAGGACTAATTTTCATTATCCACATTGTCGATTCTTCCATGTTGGTAATACACGTGTTACACGGTGATGATTTCCCGTTTCGCACACAAGAACAGCGCAATTTTGTTGATCATGTACAAAAAATGAAAGTGACAGAAACTTTTGAATCCAGGTCCAGTTATTTGCTCTACTTGAGTTGTTGACTGGATCACTGTTTAGAGAGATCACATAGTATGGTCACGTTTAATAGATCGTTACGGAGCACCTTCTGTCCGTGCCATCCAACTGCAGATTTCAGCGTGGGTTTCTACTACGGTTATCTATCTGGACAATACGATATGGCACGAAACGTAGTCATCTGCATTGCAGAATGTGGATGATTTATCCATCAAGCATCCAAACATCTATCCACCGATAAAGCCTTTCACTTTACTAATTAGATTAGAATTAAATTAGTTTATCCTACCCAACCCTCAGTTCCAAACTGAATTCTGGCTTTGGAATCAGGTTTCCAACCTTGCCTGCAGTTCTCAGTTTGTTTTTTGCTTGTTTGACTGTGAAACTTGTCTATACTTTGTTTTACGTATCAAAAAAATATTACGCGATACCTACACCCCGACTTTGAATATTCATCCATATCACTTCCCCACAAATTCTCCTTGTGAATATACTGATCACGTACATAGGCATGTCTCACTTTGAGAGAAGAACCTATATTCCGGACGTCTATCAATAGTTGATTGCCTTACTTCTTGAGTCTGTACGCTGTCTCTAATTTTAACCCTTCACCGAAATCTGCGCGGTCCCGAGACAATAATACACGTTGATTTTCGTAAATATGTGGAACTTTTGACTAGCTACTTCGACGCATTTCACCTGTCGATAACTTGTCCCAATTCCTGTCGTTAACTCATTGACAGTTGGCTCCACAGACTGATAACTGAATCCAGAAATGTCCGAAAAATGCAGTGGTACGGTTGACTGCGCAGCACAACAAATTGCGATGACGGGGTATAGGAGAGATACCTGCCCAACGCACACGGTTAGCTCATTCGATCTATCGGTAAACACTGGCGCAGTAGGGCGGGATGGGAGTCGTGTTCTGCCAGCTTGACAGAACACTCATCGACGCGTCAATATCGTACAGAACTCCAACCCAAAATCCCAAGTCTGAGAGAGGTGCATAATGCATGTGTAGACATTTTTGGCTACCAGTGCAGTTACCTCAATTTCATCGAAGTACCTTCTTACAGACAGGTCTTATCGTGTTCCGGTTTCTTTATTTTGAACCATCCACCATGCCTGACAATGACTATTGACCATTTTTGGTAGACCTATCTCATTTTGACGGGAGCATGTGTACGCGTTCGGGTAGGGGAAATTCCATTCAAGTCACTGCCTAAAGCAAGCAAGAACTCAGTTCTCTTCAACGCAACATTTGGATAAATGAAAACGAGCTGGTACACAACGTGCATCAGGTGTTGGGAATGTTTTTTGACGTATACTGATTCATGCACGTCTTGGAGAAAAATTAAGCTTCACTTCCGAAATCGCTATGGCTTCCGCACTATGAAGTGTTGCGATAGGCAACAATTGACCACAAACGCTATTTCATTCTGTGGGTTTCGCTCAGTTATAGGTTTTGCTAGCATCCTAGTTAAGCAAGGACCTTTCTCGAGACAGTTGTGGTCAGTAGACTCTCCAACGTAAGGCATGCTAGCCAAAAGATGGGTTATCCGGAGCACAAACCTTTGAAGCCAAGGAATCACTCGTACGAACAAAAGTATGACAAGCCATCAGGGGGAAATAGGTGTAAGCACAAGGTGGCAGAAAAACTTCAGCTTGACTTTTTATTCCCTCATGTAATAATACTTATCTGATAAGCTTACCTGAATGGGAGTTGCGAGGACGAACATGAGAAAATTCTCTAAAGATAATCCAGGTACTATCATGGGGGGTCCATCCATGTGACGATGACTCCGTGGGATATAATCTTTGGAGTGATTCTTTACCAAATCATGATCCAGAAAGTGAGATGGACATCCTTCAGGCGCATTGTGAGGCCAAAGGACCATGAAGACAGTCATGATCAACATTGTGGGAGCGGCAAACACCAAGCTCAGGAAGAATGAATTCCGCCACCTGATAAAACGTGGAAGGTGATGCCGCTTGATAATATTAGTCACACAAAGGTTCACTACGAAAAAGTTGGCAAAATACTAGCAAAAGTAACAAGTTCAATTTGGGTGGATATAGCGTTACTTATGAGAAGAAGATTATCCACAGAAGAATGTTAGGATGATATTGTACTGAATAGATGCACTCCACTGATGTGATTACATGAGTACCGACATAAAAAAGAGTGACGCATAACGAATCTCAAAGACTAGGTTCTATCGACAGACCTGTTGCTTACGGCATGCGTGGCGAATGGTTTCCTGTCGGGTGTTTGCAACGTTGTCCGATGACCGAAACTCTGAAGTAGGGAAAACAAAATGTCAGTCGTTGGGCTATTGTTTACAACAAAAATAAAGCCGGAAACGGATTATTCAATCTAAACAGGCAGTGTTGAATGGTGAAAATAACGAGTAATATCCGGTTAACATTGTCAAGTCATAGTCATCGGCTGTACCAGAAACCTCATCATCAGCTCTAAACCGTACATATGCTGTCTAGTGGCTCAATCTGCCACCACTTGGTTCAGTGATGATCTGGGCTGTAGAAGTGGATACAACAATAGTAATAATAATAGGTGTTAAGCTGTACCACCCTTTCGGTGCCTAGCTGCTAGGCCAACGGAAAGAGGCACGAGGGCTGGGATACTTCCAGGTTGCCAAAGTCTAGACAGGAGCAGTCGAGATGATGAGATTGAGTTCGAAACATGGACCTTACGGTTCGTGGGCTGCCGCCTTAAAAATTGAGCTAACTCGAGCTTCGCATCAAAGGTAATATGAGATGCTGACTGTAAAAAAAAACAGATGCGCAAGTGAGAGTTCATTGAACGGATCAGAAATGGAACGTATGCACTGAAGAAAATCGGCTGGGTGCATTCGTGCTACTCAGTGTATAAGTGGAGAAACTGTCAGTCTTTCTTACTACTTGTGCCCTGCGTTGGGGTCTCAATCCTGAGATGTCACAACGGTCGGCGTAGCCGAGTTTGTCTTACTGGCAGCCAGAGCAATGTTCGGTAGCACGTAGCTCGTTTCTACACTCCGCATGGTTGTACGACACATACGAAGCACGTGACCAAACCAAGGCAGCCTGTGAGGCGCCATCGACCTACTAGCCGTGCACGTGTTACTTGCCCCGAAAACTATTCGGTTCAACCCTGCAGCATTGGTCGGATGCTCCCACCAGACTCAGGTAGGGCATCGAAGTACAAATGATAAAAACACTGGGTTCTACGTAACGATCCGAATTCGTGAACAGAAGTGCCAGGTGGTAACGCGCCGAAGAAAACAATATGCAAATTATTCGATAAGATTTGATTAATCTTCTGTGTCATTGGAACCGTCTGATTTCGATTTCCCCGAAAAAATCTCGAATTCTCGCGCATCCCAATCTTCAAAATTTAGTTGTTTGGGCAAGTCACACACTTTGCGGAACAGCGGGTTTCATCTAAAAAACTTTCTCCACCTTCAGAACTATTGACACTCTTATAATATGTTGATTAGTTTATATTCCCTTCTATTTTTAATTATTGCCGTAATTATTCCAGAACAAAAAAGGTATGGTAGTTCTACCTTAAAAGAACAATGGCATGAATTCTTCATATTCAAATGTATCGTATTCGGGAAGGGAAAGGGGCAGCGGTTCTAGAATTTCTTCGGCTGCTGATCAGACGGCGGTTGGTCTCTTCACTGAGCTCGGCAGTTGGTTTAAAACATCTGATTACCACACGAAGAGGTATGGCCAGGGAGTGCTCGGGGGGTTATTTCCCCAACTTCTGCTCACGTTTATGTAGTTTCTGAAGGGCGTCTGACATAGCAAACGTGATTGGTTGTTTAGGGACTAAACAGGAAAGATAAAGGAATCCCTAGTTTTAGGAAAGACCGTAACCGAACAACTAGAACGAGTTGTACTCCGAGAACTAAATTTGGAAATATGCATCAGTCACGTGGACACTATCTTCGCTATCATCAGGAAGAGTGAATTACAGCGAACAGACCAAATATGGGGCAACATTTCTGGCTATGTTCGAATCAAAAAGAGAGAAAACTGGCCTTCTTGGACGTGTTCACTATTAGAGTGTCAAATGGTCAATTGCAAAGTGAGGTCCGAAACAAAGCACCACACGGATAAGCTCCTGAACTTTCATAATAACCACCCAGACGGTCACACTTTGTATCACACTTTGGCAGGCTGAAATACACTACAACACTGTGGAATAAAAAAACATGGGGCAGAAACTTTTGTACTTGAGATGCACTACTAGGGGATATTCGAGGAAATGCAACCCGACATAGTCAAAAGTGAACTCAAAAATGCGGAACAATTTTACCCCGAAAATCAAGAACTGACTTCAAGAATGTTAAAAAGGCATAATACAGCGGTGGTCTGCAAACCTAATAACACGTTTCTAAATGCACTTGCAAACCTAAAAACAAAAATAAAAAACGAAAAAGGTCAACACTACATGCGAAACTCAATGCAGAGGTTGTGATAAACACTAGATCAGACAAACAGGAAAAACACCTATCCACCAGACTGCAGCAGCATCAATTTGCCATTAGGAGTTAAAACAACTGCCATTGCTCTCCGTACATAAATATCAGGGAGGATATAAAGTCAATTGGAACCGCGTCATTGCATTAGCCCACCGGAGAACAAGGAAGAAACGGAAATTCACCGGGACGTGCTACTCAATGGGGAAGTCGACGAACAAGCACATTGAGAGAGACCAAATGGATCAACCTCCTAAGAAAAAAGGACCGAGTCGCAGGCCCAAAACAACGGATTAAATCAAGACCACTGGGCTGTGTGAAGAAGCAAAGCAGGAACTAATAATTAAGCATAATGGTACAAAATAGCAGCAGAAACTCCTCAGGACAGAGAGTAGCTTTCGGATACCCGTAGCATAGTTGTTTATCCAGCAGTAAGAGCAGCGGCATTGGGGGATAGGTTTTTTGGAGCTATCAGTGTTTGACGGTGCCATTTTAGTCTTATTATTATCACCGATACCAAGACATCAATCTTAAACACTGATTCTTTGCTACCATACACCACTCTAGCCTGTCAGCTACTCCTACTGGAAAACTGACTGTACTTAATCGTTTCCACTTTGCGCCCCGTAGCAACAGCTACAGAAAGAAGAGGTTTTAATAAACTACCTAAACAAAGCATAGAAGCGTTTCAGACACACTGCAATGACAAACGCTCACCTCAATCTGCTTGATAATGTCTCTGGGTCCAACGAGCGAGGAGTCGAAGGTAATAGAGCATGATTTTGAGGCATGCGAGATCAAGATGCCGCGTATGCCAAGCTGGCGTTGTAAATGAGATTCGAGAGCATGAGCATCTGCTTGACCGCTCAAACTTTCCACCTGATAATAATGAAAAAACAGGTTTGTGTTAAACCGCAAAATTGAGGCTGCGTACCTGTTATCTGAAACCTTGCTCCAGACACAGCTGGAAAATCAAGTCCAACGACTAAATGTAGTGTGCTGGAATACTAGTACCTCTGGTGCATTCATCGATAACTGATTAGGTAACTGTTGATTCGCTAGCCGAGCTTGGCAATCGATTTGCAGATGTTTCGTCACCACTTTAGGAACGCATTCAGCAGCAGTGCACTGATGGTCTCCTTTTACGAACCTTCTTGGGCACTAAAGTATGTATGCTGGCACAAGAGAACCAATTAGTCAATCATCCTTGAGCGCGATGTATGCTAGCCCGATAAACTGTGATTACCTAATTTCAACAACTTTTCTGATATGGAATGCAAGACTTGTAAGCATATAAAGATTGCCTACTGATTCCGCGGTCTGAAAAGGAAAGAGAGACGACTGCAAAATATGCTCCACAGAACGTTCAACATCCTTTACTAAACTCAAAGCTTCAGATCAACTCAGCGATTGGTCTTTGTGCTATTGTGAAGGAACACCACACAGATTTATATGCTCACAACCTCCTTAGATGGAGGTTGGGTTGACTTGGGGAACGAGGCCTTGACAAAAATGCAGAGGCGTCGACTGCAATGAGGGAGAGGATGTACCATCCGGCTATAATTGACAACTGAATTACCTATTGAGGGAGCCATAGGAGAGACAGCACGGATATGCTCACTTTCGTCTTGCATCGCGTGATGATCCTGAACACGTGTAAATCGATGATGATAGTCGCACGACGACCTCGACCCAAACAGCATCAGAAGACGCCGAGGTCAGCCTTAATTGCCTGTGTAATCACAATTTTTCACGCCCATAAAAAGTTATGCTCTGAGGCATTGGTCACTTATTTAAATGAACGAAAGACTACTTACTAAGCTAAACATGCTGTCTTAAGAACTTGGTTTGTTAGGTTTGCATTTCAGTCACTCACTATTAAAGGGCCACTGGTTCGACAATCTAACATGGTTGAATCTAAAAGTTTTGCTTGTTAATTTGATTGATTCTTCCTGATTGTCCGACCGCTTGACAGCCAAACGAAAATACCCAGCCAGTTGTGTGCAAACACTACAGGGATAGGAGCCCAAAGTTTGGAGTGCAGCTTTATTCAAAGCTGAATTCATACGCAACTAGGGAAGTACGGACACTAAGATAAGTCCAGCGGCGGCGATATTTTAGACACTTGTCAGAGAACAGTGTTGCTTATCGCTGAAAGGATCGGGGCCGTGCAGTAACGTCGCCGTTTGGTAAAGGCACTAAAGGACCAAATAACTGGCTTCGAAGACCAGTTCCAGACAGCTATTACTTACCGATGGATTAAGACCGAAAAAAATGGGCTGCTGATTGGAGCATCACTAGTTAGAAGGGGGATGCCATCAGATTTTGCATTTTCAGTAAGCTGTTAGTCTCGGTTATTCGCCATTAAATTCTCGATGAGTTCAGTTTGTATCCTATGGCGAAGCCTCACTAGATCCTCCGAATTAAATTTGCTACTAGGAGTATGAACACAGCCATACAGAAGTGACACATAACTCAAGTTGATAGAAACAGTCACAGCCACAATAGCTTCGACAAGAAGGTGACAAACTTGAAGTGACGCTGAATGCAGACCTTCACTGTAAACTCCGAGCGTCTCTTGGATAGCGTCAAGTCCTTTAATCATATTCCACTGTGTTGTTTGCAATAGTACAGTACCGTAAATAAAACGGTACTTTACTGAAGTAAGTGATTTATCTCTTAGAAACACTGCAGAAACGATTGAACTGAGGACAAGATTTCGTGTAGCGCTCCAAAAAATGGAATGTACGGAAATATCTGAACATGTTTAAATAAATAGATGACATAAATAATAAATACTAATAATGATAATAAATAGATGACATAAATAGATGACATAGGACTTCTGTTTAGTAGTAGCTGAATTCTTCTGCTGTTGAACAGCACAAAGACACTGAGGACACGATAGTTTGTTTCTTTGATGTACACACCTGGCGACAAAAATCAAGCGTGAATATGGGGTGAGTAAAATATAGTACTCCTTGAAGGATAAACTACCACGGGCGTTTGAGTGGTGTTCAAGTTGAACCACACACTAGAGACGCTGGTTCAGACTCTCTGGTGGAGTGGTCTTCCTTTTTGTTGTCTTGCAATAGACAGTTATGATATGAAACCCCGCAAGATGACCATACAAAAGATCCAGCAAAAGAAATTGGAACCGACAACACTGGTTGAGCAAACAGTTCGTCAGTCGATCATATATACAGCTATGTGTACTAGTTCGTCCATATTGATGAATAAACCTGTGAGGAATCTATAGTTCGTAGTGAGTAAATTTTTACTGCTCACTCAATCTTGCTCTACCACACCGACAGAACAATATGTGACCTTATGGAGGACAAGTGAAAAAGACGATTTGTGTTCATACGAATAAGTGTGTCTGACAAGGCCCAAGCGGTAGGTATAAAGTCACACTACACATAATTGTTCTACGTGGTAAAACGTTAATTTCAAAAACTAGATAGCAATCGCGTTTTTTTACATACTGTTACCGGTTCACCATGTCTAACAACTGTTTGTATCTCTCTGTGCAAACCGATTGCAAACGTGTCAGCCGATAGATAAGCCTGAACATGTGAACACCTAAATACCGTAGCGATGAATGAGGCCAGAGCAACGAGCACGTCAATTAGCTCACCAAAAGCCTCTTGATCTGTGCAACTAATCTGGTATTGAGTGCTCTCGCTTGTTATTCGATAGGTGGTAAATTGCAGTGTGTAATGGTGACGCCGGCATCTGATTTCAAGTGTGAGGTCAAGTGCGAAGCTGCTAATGATCGAACTCTGCCACATGTCTTGAGCATTCGAGCACTGGTCGATAATGCACCGAGAAGCAACAAACTAGCTGGTCTGACAAGCAGGCCACGAGTCTTTTTTGGAAGATCAACATATTGTCGAACAAAAGCGACACGGCGACCGTGTAATCAGCACTAAGAAAAGGAAATAACATGTTGAAAAAGGATGTAAAAACTAAGGCATGGCTACCATAAAACATCGTGCTTCAGGCTGATGAATTAAATCTGAGATCACATTAAACCGTGATATGAGTGTGGTTTAGACAATCCAAACCATAAAGTGTTGTAAACTAACTCACTGTCGGCAAGATTAACCTTCTGAAAGCCAACTGGTGTGCCCCTGCATTGCCTATCTGACTCTCTCAAGAAATGCGAAAAATATTCTGGAGAAAACGGATGGTCAGACTGATCGTTTAATCCATTATTTACCGCGTGAATTACCTAGCACTCATTCATAAAAAAGTATGAAGTTGAACAAACTCTGCCATGATAGGTTAACCGACTTCAAGTTCCCAGTAAATGAAAAATGTTAGGAAGTACCTTTCGTGATGTTGTAGCGGGTCATTCCGTATATTGCCATAATAGCAGCGGATTTTAATAACTAAGCAGTGCTGCAGAGTACCTAGTTGAGCACCAACGTTTTCAGTCTCGATTTCTGTCGGTGGGGGATAATGCCTTCTAGAGGAAAATGCACGCTTGGCAATCTGCCAATTTCTATAGCAAAACTATTTGAAGCAAAAGTTCACTACCAGTTTTCCATAGTATTTCGTATTCTTGCGCACTCAGAGAGGAATCAGGGGGAGAGAGATTTTTACAAGCTGGTACTAGGCTTTGATTGACTCTTCTTAGAACTATGCAACTCTCCAGCAAAACACTGGTGACCCAAACTGTTTCGTGCTCGGTCAGCTGCGCAAGGCCGCAGCAGCCAGCTACCAAGACGTGTTGTCGTCTTTTGTATTTTCCGATTCATTAGCCCAGTTGACGAAATGAACTTTGTGCTTAGGTCCGGAATTTGAATAAATGGTATGCACATCTCTTGTTCGGAAAGCTGTAGTACTTACGTATTCATTCATCATGTCTGTATGAGAATACGAGGGTGTACTCGATTTGGTAGCGTTATGTAAAGTGACGGTTATCCTGGATACCGGTATACAGCTGACCGGTCAATCACATACTAATGTGGCAGCAGTGCTGACAGTATTGGAACGGGACTGCTGAAAACGGGCGCGTCCATCAACGATGATGGTGTATACAAACCCAAGACACGCTATCTTGATGATGCCCAAAAGTACGTCCACAGTGCGTCTTGGATCAAGGATAAAAGTCATTGACCATTAAGGATGTGATGATGAAATTCTAGGTAAAGTAGTGTGAAACGAAATAACGGCTTAGGCTCCGGACCGAAAATCCTAGCTGAAAAGAGCTGAAAGGGACCAAGTTATTACTGTTGCTTGTGTTACGTTTTATAAATTCCTGCTTCTACTCCAACTTCCATTAGAAGCGCTTCTCATATACCAAATCTGGATGTTCCAGCCATGGGTATTTTGGACATAAGCGTGGGTAAAGTCGCGTTGAACAGAATAATGACTCATCTAAGTTCTTGCTGTTACGGTTCGTGCTTGCACCTCGAGCTCATAAGGAATCCTTGTGGGTATGCATCATCTGCCATAAAACAGATATGGTTTAATTATCGGAACAAACCCATTGCAAACCTACTGCACATCATCACAAGAAGGCCTGGTTTGAACAACTTATTCAAGAGAGTAATCAGTAATTCAGGCATGCGTCACGTGATTTTGTTCCTGAAGTGTATCCTGTTTCAAAGACCCTTGTAACTGACAGCATTGCATGGACGCTTCTGTCAGACCCATGACTAAACTAGTTGAGTCAGTGAATTTTTTTTCAGCGTCAAGTCGTTTTGTTGCAAAGATTCATGACCCCATGTAGAAAGCAGTGGCAGACTATTAATATTTAAACCAGGGGTAGGTGAACTAAGACTCCAGTCAATACTGCACTGAGTGCCGCAGTGAGATGGTGTGCCTTGTAAAATGAAGAAAATCAATAAGGTAGCATGGTTCCTACCTTGGATTTTTCATGTCTGATATTGCTCAGGTTCACTGAGTTACAAAATTTAGCTGCCTACTCGGCTCAACAACTCTTAGTCTGGTTGATTAGCGCACAGTATTTGTTAAACGTGATGATACACGTCTGCATTAGCACATCTGTGCTGATTCCATCCTGCTGCGCATCGATCGGCAAAATCAGTGAAGCTACCTAGTGTGGGTTCGTTTCCCCTTACGAGACACAATCATACGGTAGGTCATTCACAATGTCCGTGAGCAACAACTAATTTCCGCGCAGGCATGCATACTGTCAATCGCACATACTGTATGGATTTGAGTCTGCTGTGTGCGAAAACGGTTCAGATGGTCGAACCCGTGACCATTACATTCCAAAGTCCACTATTCTGTTTGAATCAGGTTTCAGGTAACCTCCGATTATGGTGTATCAATTCATGCGGGGTATTAACAATATTTCCAACCTTCCAAATGTGTGAAACTATGAAGTCTTACGAACCTGATGAGATTCTTCTAACTGGTGGAAACGAGTGAATAAAACACTTGGGTTTCGTTACGTCTAAACTGCGACGTAGTAGTTAACTACCTTACCGCAAAGAGGAACCCGGTTTGTCAAATACACAACAGTCCTAGAGATGACTTTCCATGACCATCGTTGTATACAACAGCCTGATAAGTAGCAGACATTAACTAGCCAAATGCGTGTGAATCGGAAACCCTTTAGAAAAGTGTGGGACCCCGGGCCATTCCGGTGTGTGGTTTCCAATAGTGTAGTCGTTACACATTAACGGGCCAGTAGGGACTTCACTTAAGCATGCTGGTCGTTTTACAAACTATCTTCTTCTGTTCAGCCTCTGGTGTTCTTCCGTAACGTTTATGATGAGTAAATAGCAATCAGATGATTGTTCTTCCGTAACGTTTATGCTGAGTACATAGCAATCAGATGATTTTATATGCAGCTCAGAGCAAGTTGCATGTATATTACCTCTTGTCCAAGATCTATCAGTGAACTAGGAGAAGGGCGCCAGTCCAACAATTAGGCCAAATCACTTTCTTCAGATAATACTAAGGAATGTAGGAATACTAAGGAGTGTAGAGGATAGCTGAAAGTCGAAACGAAGGATGCTGTGTGCAAGGCTAACGATATTATCAGGATTTTTCAAAGAGCTTTGGCGATGTCCCCACAGAAAATAGTGGTTGCACGGTAGTGAGGTATCGGCGTATAGTGAGGCAGATGTAGTAAGGTCCGAAAGGGTCAGTCACCCACCGGTGCTATATTGACTACAGTGATGAAGAATTAGTGCCTAGGATGAAGACACATTTACAAGTACCAGCAGGGTTTTTAGAGAGAGTGAGACTTCATTGATACATGTTCTTGCACTGGGAACGCTGGATTTATTTTTTTCACATGTTGGTATGTCGGAACCTAGTGGGTTTTCTGAATCAAACAATGATCGACAGGAATGAGACTCTCTTATGAAAGAAACAGTCAAACTTTGACACTTTGCTGAAGTGCTGATAGGTATGTGATTTGCGACGAGGTCCGGAACGTTATTTGGCAATTCTAAGCAAAGTTAACGCCGGAGAGCAGTCACGGTGTTACACTTAGAGGTACAAAATTCAATTCAAATTACTTAAGGATAGTCGCACAAGAAAATTTGGTTATTTCACTTCTGCCACAATGCTGAGAACTGGACAGGAAAGAAACTCGTCGGTCTGATTGGAAAAACTTATCAACTAGAGGAAAATCTGACACCACTTTTAGAATGTGAATCCACCTGAGCCCAGAATTTTTACACTGTTGGCAAAGATGGCCAAATCTGAAGGGTAGTTCGAGTTGGTAAACACTTTCTGGCCAAGTGGTACCGTGGCGTCGATTCCAATTTATTTAGTACCTACGCTAAATTTTACCCACTTCTCCTTCGCTCAGAATAGTAAACCTGCTGCCGTAGCGTGAAGAATCTGATTCTCACCTGCCGCCTCTTATTTTTTACTAGAAGGGAACAGAGCGACTCAGAACACGTAGTAGTTGCGTCTGGAATTGGAGACGGCTCTCAAAACTCGCAACAGCGTACCCAGGTGTTTTCACTTTGGTATAGCCAGTTGGCTGAGACTAATTCACACACCCAAGAATACAATAATAATTCCGCGTATAAGCTTCACCGGCATATCAATCCAGAAAAAAACACAACCACGAGAGGCAGGGGATTTGAATTTTGCTGTGTGATGGACTATATTTGAGGGCTGCAGGGGAGGCACTTCTGGATTCCCTGGCAGAGAGCCCCACGGCGGGATTATTATACACCAATACAGTCAAGACAAAGTCCGTTTTTTTATACACACCCCAAACCCATGCGGCTTGTAAATGACTCGCGAAAACAACAGATTGTAGCCAATTGACTGCCACCAAAAGGTTCAGTTTATAGAGAGATGACTCTCTTGAAGGATGGCTAATGAGCAATGGATGGCTAGAAGCATTATGTGGAGCCATGAAACACGATCGTCCTGGCATATTAACAGAGTTCATATAAGGTTCTTCGAAGTAATGCTACATCTTGCAACAGTAAACCAGAATGCATTGCTTTTTCGCCGATCCAAAGTCCACAAGTGCCAAATGCGGTTGGCAATATTCACCTTGTAATTGAATTCGACTGCCTGGTTGTAATAAACATCGCTGGTGAATTCTAATCGCATCATAAAAATGTCACATATCAGCCCAATTAAACAAACCGAAATCTTTTACGCAACTAAGTTTATTTTATTCAATGTACGTCTCCTAGATTTTGTCCGAGAGAAGCCAGTACAAGTTCGTTCAGAAAAATCACTAAATTTAATCATCGGACACCAATATTTTTCACAAAAGATACAAAACTGTCTCCGTAATGATAAGTAAACATATAGTTTCATCAGCTGGCTGGTGGCATTTGTGTAATTAAGTGTTGACGAACGGCAGTCCCTCGTTTGTCGAACCACACAACTAATGACATTCTTGATGTAAACAAGTCAAAGTTGTTGATGAAATACCCTCGGTTTGAAATTACTTTGATGGTAAACGGATGGTCATCAGAATCTCTGGCTTATGATGTTATTCAACTGAATGTGATGCGCAAAGGCTGTCTTATGTTTCATTTGGGACGACATTCGAGAAGACGTAATGCATGGTTTCGGGTACCGCGCCCATCTCATGAGCCCCTAGAAAGCCGGAGCTTCCTGTGAGCTGTCGACAAAGCTTATATGTGGTATGTTCCGTCGGGAACACGTATTTTGATATTCCGAATATCCTCAGAATCAAAAAGTGGAGAAGTCTTTTTTAATTGCACATTCAGCTGAAAAATATCACAGATGAGCTGTAGATTAACATCAATGTAATTTGCGAATGAACACACTTGTTCAAATGCGCACAGGCAGGAAACATTTTACAACTTCTGGTCAGCCAGGTGGGTCACAGAAAAAAAGGAAGGTAAAGCATACAGAACAATGGCAAGAAGCACCAAAACTGTAAGATGAAATCGTTAGTGTGCGTGATACAACGCCATTTTCAGTTTCACAAGAAAAAATGAACTATTTTTGTTCTCTTGAATTTCACAAAGGCATCCTCACCAATAAGACTATAGACGTTAATTTAATCGCACAAAATGATCTGGATGCGCTCCTGGAATGTATCGAATCGATTAGATTAAATGGTCCAAAAGTGACAACTAGTTGTGAAATGTAGCAAAACTTGCACAAAAGACCAGCACACTGATACTTTGGGAATCATTCTCTGTTTTAGTATCGTTACTTTTAAGCCTTTGTAGAACCCTCGTTTCTAACTGCTTTAATTCTATTCCCAGGAAGAAGATCAAATGCAGCAAGCAATACAAATGAAATTGGAGTAGTTTTGATTGCTATAGACTTCACTTAGACATTCGAAAACACAATGTGAAAACCTCCTCAAAGATTCCAGCTGATGAGAATCTAGTTGTAGTGCGTATTTGAAATTCTTAAGAGGCAAACTTGAACAATCCACAAGTAAAACGAGCCGGCAAAATGTGCCGGAATATGATGTAGATGGACTTACCCGTAGATAAAGTGTCATTCGATTCATATCCTCATTCACACCGACTGCTTTTTCCAACACTTCTGCTCCAAATCCAAGCTCACATACTTGACTCGCTAGTTGTTCCGCTGTTATCAGAGATCGGTTGTAGGTAATATCAGCCTTCATTGCGAGCAAGGCAACAAGCACGTTATGAACACCTGGAGGTGTTTGAAGAAAGATAAAAACATACAACTCGTATTATCAAGAATGCGATTTTAGTTCGCGACACTGCTTGAATGAGCACGAAGGAGAAATAATTTGCGCTACCGAACAAGCCTTAAAATATGGATATCTGGGTATTTAAGTGGGGGAACGTTTCGCTTGATGAGTGCAGAGTAACGAACACCGGGCCAGATTGGGTTATACAGGGTGCAACAAAAGTACTTGCCGCTAAGCTTCGAGCTTACAATGATGAAGAGGATCATGGGGAACGGGCATCGTAGAAACATGTGAGTTCTGGGCACTTGCTCAAATATTGGAATCCCTGTCCAAAATTATTGGGGTCGGCAGAAAGAAGTAACTGTCGTTTGTAGCGTCATTCGTAATATAGAAGTGCGCTAATATTATTACGCTGTCAAACAGTCGGATCAGATGCTTCACAACGGCCAAATCAACTAAAACATGCAATAATTGCCTTCATTATCACTTAATTATCACATCCATAATGGCACTCATTGACAGTGATTAACCTAGCAATATGCACTGGTGATGTAGCTAAGAAGTGAAATTTCGTTTCGGTCATCTGACGCATCGTTAGAAACAACTTGCTCCTTGAAGAGCAGTGTCATACTAAGTATCGCATTATGGTTAGTGTAACGATGATACTCCAATTTTTCTAAATCAGTGATTTATTGAATGGGTGGGTCCATTTTCGAATAAGTGAGCTTTTGATGAACCTTTGATTCACGTTGCCTGCACCAGCATGTGTACTGCAACCTGCTGGTCTGAACATGAACGCTGGTCCCGTGATGTGCGATATGACACTTCTAGGAGCTCGTCTCAAAACATCAGAGGCAGAAACATACAAAACTGAGCCGCAATCAATGTTATATTACTATTACTATTGCCACTGTCATTATTAACCATACAATGGTTCTGACTTTGTGTGCGGCCGTCACTGTTGACATGAATCGATTAGGAGAGATCAATAGACGTGTACTGACCGATTCAGTCAAACTGTGATAAAAATTGTGTTCAGGAACCTTTATTTCAAATACAAGGTCTCCCGTAGAACAGTTGAGCTCTGGATTTCTGGTCTATCATGTGATATAATGTCGTTTACTCTAGATACTCCAGACGCCACATACGCTGGTTTTACTGACCTCCCAAATAATGGGTTTCTCAATTACTATCACGGGGACCGCTGATATGTGCATTCCATTGTATCCAGCGCAGTTTGACTTGGCAGTGCAAATGAATTTCCACAAGCAACGACAAACAACTACCAACTATGATACATATGTCGTGCATTCCTACTGTTGGGAATATGCAAGCACTTTTAGTGTATAAGTCATTCTAGCTTAGGTGAATTGTGCCTAACTACTAATTATGGAGGTTGGATATTTGAGGCCAACCGAATTTCATGAGATTTCAATTAATCGTATTTCCCAGCGAGGAGTGAGCAGCTTGACGTGTTTTGAATAAAAATGACTGTGATTTACATGGCGAATCTGCGGATAGATAGATATTGGAAAGCAAACGTAGCACTTCCGAAATATGGGTACCACAAAATATGGCCGCTGAGGTATCACTTCCAAAGAAGTTGGAGGTCCACATCAAATGACGTGACGTCCAGCATCAATTGACAACATCATCACCTACTACTGGTCATAAGACCACCTACATTGAGCTCCAAATGAACGTTATGCTAGCCGTAGAATAGTAGTTAATCACAATCGACTTAACTCTGACACTACCTGTAAAGCTGTCATCTAATACATATAAGAAGCGCCTAAACAACCACCGTTTCGCTAGCAATTTAAAAATACTTTACTTACAGGAATTAATGTGAACTATCTAGAAATCCAGAGCGATCTCACTATGCAATTTTTATAAGGAAACATCCCCATTACTTCATGAGAACCCAGGGGTGCCGTATGCACAGTGTGGTTGGTTCAGCCTTATCACAAAAAAGAGCTTACTCGAATCTCACATGAAACTATAGTAACACCAACATACTAAGTTTTAATGTATCCATACAACCAACTTAAATTGTTGCGGCCATCTGAACTACCAAGCAATCTATGGGACTACTTTAAGAAATGGTGAAACCACTGTACCTGGGAGCTTCATGAGACTTTGTTCAATCAAGTGAACACACGAGCTGCACGTCATTCCCGTGATTCGTAGATAGCAACGAGCCAAGTCAGGAGAGGAAGAAGCATGATTCGTTAGGTCTGGTGAAAAAAGTTGGCCTGATTTTTCCAGCCGTGAGTCATTTTTGCAAATCTGATCTTCACCGTTGAGAGGAATGGAAACAAAATTCGCATCCCTCAAGACAATATCCTCCGGCGTAGTTTCCAGTGGGTCACTGAGAGCTTTTGGGTCATCTGCTAGGTTGACCTGAATGCCGCTTTGAGGGATTTCTGCTGCAAGTGGGAAAGATATTGTTCAGCTACTTCGTAAAACATGAAGTGGGGAGTGCGTGGGTGATTTGGATATCTCTCCAGACTAATCCAAACGTTTGTGTTGGCCCATGATAGCTAGCAGAAGACACTTCCAAACAGAAGTTATTCCCTTCTGTAGAGCCATAACAATGTTGCTCATCCATTTTTATGGAATTATCGTAATGGTTTCTGCTTGATTAGCGATAAAAACGAAATTTTTTGGTGCGTTTTGGTTTGAAAATTAGGGTTAGAAACTATGAGGAGCTCAGACCGAAAATATATTTTGAGTGCCAGTACGGGTAAAACAGGTTTCCAAAAGACTTCTGTGAACATCTCTAGAAATACTATGCAATTTATCCGTTTAAAATAGAATACAAAACACGCGGGCTGACGTTGGTTAAAAACGGAGACCTATTGGAACTCGCGAAAATGGATGGAAATTCACAAAGGAAACAATAACTACAAAACAAATTTGCTTGATTCTGAAAACATAAATGTGCAGCCTTAGACGTCCCATGACTGAACTCCGGACCCCACTGACTGGCATGAGGTAGGTTTCAGGGTTGTGAAACAAATTTTCATGCTGGTGGCAATACGGTAGTGACGATGATGCCCACTTTATTAGAGGTGGATAAACTGAACGGGTACAATGGAATGTAAGGTTAGCAGACAAAGGAGAGCCTACGGTTGCACCAGCAGTTTTCAAGCTGGTAACGCAGATGGACAACAACCGTACGGATACAGTTAATCGTTCTCCAAAACCACTGACAAAGCCTTTCATTGGACATAGATGAGATCGAGATGGCTTTGTGGTTAAGGCGCGAGCTTACTGGCCGGAAGGTGGTTTGGGCCCGACCTCTGCAACCAAATGTGACATCAAACAACGGAAGAACGGATCAAAATTAAGTAAAATCAACCATCCCGTGATACGTTTGGGATACCTGCGAACGAGGTCGTTTGTACACTATTGAACATACACTTCCCATCAATAATAAGCTTGAATCTTCCTGGAATAAACAGTCTTTTTACTTTTTTGATTAAAGAAACATTATATTCAACCCGATTTCTATTGAGTACACACCTGATAAACACGATGAAAGCGATGAAAGCTTGGTAACTCACCCTGATCACTGGTCACATCTGGTACGGTACGAAATCCAAGTTCGTGAATCTCTTCATGTAACCGGGTGATGTCAGTTTGCGATAGGATTTGTGTCACATAAGTCCACATCATTACAGACGCCTCATCAGTATGGGTGAATGTCAGTGAACTCGTGAACTTCACTTGACTGTTTTCGAGAGAGACAGAACATGTTGTGAACCTTATGCCATATCGTAACGGGTTCTCTTTTAGGCGCTCGCTGAAATGGCTGTCAATGGTTCGCGTACATGAATTGCAGTGCATTCCGTAAACCGATATGGAAATTTCGACAGTGACGCCCTGAAACTTTAAGAGGGAAGCAGTGAAACTGATGGCGTAAACCACTGCACGAGCGTCATGGTTACGAAGAATAATAATGATGAACAGCAATATGAGCAAATCGCGTGTCGCAATGATTGCGTACCCAGCTGCGTTTTTAAGAGCAAATCCTTCAATAGCATGGTTATTGGAACTAAGCGAGTCTCTTTTTGTACTTCTCCAACCTGCAAGCCGAGCTGAAGCGATCGGACCACCAATTTTCTCCAAACCCATGAAAAATCATGACAAATTTTGTTCTTCATGCTGTTCTCCTTTAGTCATCTTCTACCCTATGGGACAATTTTAAAAAAACTCCAAAACTACGACATCATGACCATGTACTCCAGGAGGAATTTTCGTTCAACCAAATTAAAGTTGGATTGGACATTGTTGTGGGGCATCGTATTTTACTGATTGTCTTAAGTTCCCCAGTCCTTAGAATTTATTTTCTTTGACTGAGCTCATTCGTTTTCTGTGGGTGTTATGATTCATTGGTAGTCTGTGCACGTATTAGGGGCGAAATCATGGGCTTGATAAATGAGCACACTCAAAAGTGGTGGTGTTTTATCCTCAACGCTGTAGCCTCGATAATTATGACCTTGAAGCAGTCCTCTTACGACATCAAAATCGGAAGACCAAAAGGTTTTCATGTTTGCTGAAAAATATTAAGGAGAGTTGGAAGTTCCAGATATTTTTTCATTATGTAGCAGTACCAAAATCTACCTACCGACTTATGTTTTTGTGCGTAAATGTGCTGTTTTCTCATCCATTCATGAAACGAATCATGTGACCGCAATCTTTATTCGAAAATGTCACGGAGCTTCTCGTCATCATATTTTAACGGACATTAATGCACGGATGTTGACTAGCACAGCAATCACTTGAATCAAATACCTGTCACACTGCCCTATCCCTCTGACGAGTTCGGAAGTACACGCGGTGTGAAGGTGCGTGGGCGGGCGAACAAGGACAACTACCGAGCACGTGACAGTTAAACCGATGGTTACCTGACTCGTCCATTCGCCAGCATTTGAAACTGAGGGAGGACGTACGATATGTATGTGAGAACGCGAGAAAACATGGGAGCAGTGGAAAAAAACTGAGAAATATTATTGAGACTCAAATGGAGAGTATGGTAAACCCTCAAGTCCCCATTTTGTGCCCTCGTTTCAGAAAAAAAATTTCTGGAATTCACAGCAGTAGCCTCTGGACAACACCGTATTGAGCAACACGTTGACAGTGGAAGTGAGTACTTGTATCCACAGGATTTCAGGTGGGGAATCTGAAGGCAGATCTGGTAGCCTACAATTATGCAGTTATTACCAAACAAGAAAGAAGTGCTTTCACAATCACATATCACAGATGATTTTAGAATCGTACTCTCCACCAAGGTAGCCAAAAGTGTGTACCTGAAGCACAGACGCATAATGTTTGGTCATCATTCAATGGCAGGCTCCGTTTAATTCGGTTATATTGGGGTCAGCTGACCAACACACATTAATGAATAAGACAAATGTTATTTGATCATCTTAACACAGCTACCGGAAATGGGAGAAAACTTATTGAATAAACGGGATTCACGTAGTTTTTTCTTGTCGAAGATTCACCCACAGATAAGCACAACGAAAGAGGTTGTCACTCTTCTCTAATAAACGTCCCTGCAAGACACATTCGACAACCAAAGAGGAAAACCTATTTAACATGGCGTTGAAATTCTTCAACTGTAATCCAACTGGTGGAGCATCTGTTCAGAAACCTTGGCGTTTTACTTTTTTTCAGCAATATATGTACCTACCAACATCTGTCCTCATAATTCTTAACACTTGAAGTAATGTCGTTAAACTGCTATTTGCGGACCAGTGCTCATAGGTTGCCAACCACCTGTATGCATCGGGTTACACGTTCGGATAAATTTTCGAACCGATATTCACATATGAAGGCTGGCGTTTGTTTCCGGATCAGCCTGCCACCTCGAACAAAGCCGGTGGGATCTCGCACTCGGCGTGCGCTGAGTCACGTTTGCAGTCAGTCGAACTCGTTATTCCCGGAGTAAACTAGCAGTTGTGAGACCATCAGACATGCACTTTGCCTAAACATGTCACTGGGCATTTAAATATGGTTATTATTTAGTCAGAACGTCCGAGTGTCAAAAAGAAGACAAACGATCTGCTGCTGCGGCTCACCCACTGCTATGCACGTGTTGCTGTGGGAGTTCCGACGGGCATCCGTCCCTTTTCTATACAAGCCGTTTGTACCCAGGGCTTGTTGCGACTGTCAGGCCATACACGCCATAGATTACGGCTCTGACGATGTACAGGAATGGATCCACAACAGGCTCTAATCGATTGCTTCGATTAAGGTTACCTCACGCATTCTGGGCGTGCATCCCAGCTGCACTTTTTCATTTATGGTCACATCGTATCAAGACATCAGTCAGGCATAAAGTAAGGCGTGGTCATAAACATTCTGAAGATTGAAAGTGGTTCTGCTTGAGTGGGAATGAAATGGTTCAAACGGAGCTTGAGTTGCTCGAAAGTGGATGCTCTAGTTAGGCACTAAAATGTCGCTTTTGCTAGTTCTTCAGTTCTCATATACACTTCCTTGAGATTTAGCAATTTATTCGTCGGCACACCACGTTTTCAGGATAGAACAACTTCGTCCTTAGCTCTTAACTCCAAGAATGCTGATAAGTCATCATACCAGATCTCTCTTGTTCCTATGGCACAGAAGAGAGTGAACAACGCAATAGTATGCAAGCAGATTTACGTATACTGAGCAATAGCACTTGTGGGTAGGATTTGGTTTAATTATGTGCTCTGTACTTTGGTGGAATAGTACATTCTTTTTGGTATCGTCATAGTTTGTTTGACTTTAAACGAGTAGAAATCAATTTAAAAAATCAAAAAGCCACGCAAACATGAATCCAGGTCGTCAGTATAAGAGAACATCTTTGGCAGATCATGCACTGTCCTTTCGGAGAATGGTGTCAGTTAGCTAGATTCGTGTGGGTGTGAATATGGATAGTGCATCAAAGTTTTAGAATACCGTTTTTGTCGAGCACTGAAAGTATCTCACGAACTACATCATAGAAATGATATCAACGTTGGCCTGAAGCGAACCAATAGATCACATTCGAATATCGGGGGGCGAGATGGTTCAACTAGTTAGAGCGCGATTGACTGACCAGAAGGTCGGTGTTTCGAACCCGAACTTGCCTCTTGACTTTCTCTGTCTAGTCTTGGGCAACCTGGCAGTATCCCAGCCCTCGTGCTTCCTTCGGGTAGCGTGGCAGCTAGACACCGGAAGGGTGTTATATCTGAACGATTCTTTATATTCGAATATCGATTAGTCACTCTTCAAGCACGCTTGCCTACCAAACCATGGTTGAAGGTGCGGTAGTGCGTCATTTTTATAAGAGGGGAAAGGTTGCATGATTCGATTTCATAAATGTCTTGCTTGACTTACCGCCGTGACAGTTATATCCTTTGTGGGAATCAACTTCAACCTGGCAGTGAGAAATTCATTACTAGTTAAGCTGTCTGAAATGCGCCGGTCCATTTCACTGTACACAACATCCAGATAAATATTCGGATCACTGGACTGAGGACGTAGCTGAACAATGTGCAGACCACTCGGGGATGCGGACAAAATGGTAGGGGTTAGGGAAGCGATGGGTGGAATAGATCGGATGCGTTGAAGTACTTCATCTTTGGATACTGTGCTGTTGCGCGATTGAACAAGTAGCAGGTTACCAAGACAGGAAGGCTGTTGTATAGTATGTACATCTGTAGCCTCACCAGAAGCTAGACTAGAAGAAACCGTCTGAGCTGGGTGCATGGTGCGAGTGAAAGATGGGAAGGAATCTCTCTTTTTGGTTGACCTGAGTATCACACAGTGTTCTGAATTTTGACATTCGACGTTGAAATCAAGCTCGCGTAAACAAGTTACCAGTGCTGGAGAATAAAATACATATTAGTCCATCAGTACACAGCAGTGATCAATACTTAAGCTTTAAGGCAAACCTGCAGAACAAACGTATGTGTCTACACTGCGTTTGGTTAGTTAACCAGAAAAAAGAACCCGGACCAAGGCGAAGTGACAATATCTGTTCAAACATCTTGTGAAATGCGGATTTGTACACCAATTTAGCCTTATCTGAAATATTGGGTATTTCACTGTGTAGAAAACTGCTTGCTGTTTGAAAAAAATCGAATTGCCGACAACGTGCGATTCTCGATCTAAACGGATGTTGACTTATTCAGCCGATCAGAATTCTGGTGACTACTCAGCTGTGTGACTACATGGCAGCATCTTATTGCGGCTAGGCCACATGAATATTGAGGCAAAACAAGCTAACTACTCAGCTAACTACTCAGTCATTCAATAATCACGAAAAACAAATTCAGCAGCTATATTAACCGGTCAGTGTGAGTGTAGCCCAGACGATAGCAGTTCTGTAATTGTCCACCACAGGGCTACGCAGCTGAGCATTCTGTTCACATCTGATGAGTTCCATTAAGGATGAAAGGACTGATCCAACTGATTTTCTTGAAGGCCGACATCCTCATTATAGGCATGGACAAACTTGAAGGACAGTGACTGGTAGGGGGAGAATTTTGTTTCATACGGTTACTTAACGAGCGTTAAGTATAAATTAAGAAGCAGCACTGATTACTCAGTGGATCGTTTGCATGCGTATTCGGCGTGAAAAAGGGATTCAACTGAGATAGGAATAATGAAATAGAAGTGTTGACAGAAACTCAGGAACCACCATATCTTTACGTCATCAAGCACAACAAAACCGGTGCAGTACCGTCGACGAATTTCCATTGAACCCCATACCAACTAAAAAGTCTTGGTTTGTGATCAACGTTGATTTTCTCCATGCAATTGGAGCGTGCAAATTTAGTTTGAGGCAAGTAAAGCATTGGCTGACAAAGTAAGCGACAATATTTCGGTATTCAGCGGCAAAAACTCTGAGAAACATATTCGGTAAACTAAGAGAAACACTCGGTATGGTTTCACTTCTGACATAAAAGCTACATCAAGCAAAGTGACAGGGCTATGAGGTTGATTGGGATTTAAGGCGGAAGGGGGACCAATCAGCTAAGTCAGGGTAAATCAGTGTTAGGTGTCTGCTAAGGGTTTTCGTTTGTTGGGGTGGGTGAGCAAGTGTTAAGGCTAATGGGGATGTGGGTCCACCTTAAGGTTTAGTGTGTAATTTCTTGGCTGTTTGGCATGTACAGACCTTGTGCAATCCTTGCAATGAAATATATACACGCACTCCCCAGTCCTTTGAACTGGGAGGAGATTCTTTCAAAACTTCTCCGAAAATGACAGCTTCTCAATTGGTTTCAAGCGTTCCCCGACTGAGAAACATTGTTAGAATATTCACACTAACCAGTGTTAACGACTTGATTGGCCGCTTCCTGACGAATAGCTAACCTGAAACCTGACAATCGAAAGCTGTTGTAGAGTCTAGCGAGAGTTCTGTTTAAGAATGAAGTTAAGGCTTTCTCCATAAGGCGATTCTCGTAGGGACACATCCTATCATCTGTATTTATCAGGAATGGTTTTCATCCCCGTAAGCTGCAAACATTCGTGGCATAGATCACTTATAGATAGCATCTCTTCCCAAACTTGAAGGGCGACAAATAAGGATAGATAATCGTAATACAATTCCACCACTTGAGATTTTAGGCACTCAATACTACTGAAACAAAGACTGAGTTGTAGCAAAACTGATGGCAAGATTTCATGAAGGTACTGAATTGGTGGAGGCTGAAAGCAGACGACGGTGTAATGATCCCCCAAAGCTACCAAGAAATTTCTAGACCCGCATGGAGATTATCAAAAAGCACATAGAAATTATTCTGTAGATTCACTTCCACCGACCTTTACTACTTCCTCGTACATGAACAGATGCGCTACTATAACTTACTTGAATGCAAGAAACAGATTATCTTTGGTCTTTTCTTTGTTGCTGAGGCGCCTGCCTTATACTGCTGAAACATATTCTTAGGTGAGCAATGTCATTGATCATTGATTACCACTAGTTTATAGCGAGTGATGTCATTCTAAGGAGTTTGTTGTCTTCTTGCACACAGTGTTCACATGTGCATTTCTCGAAAGTAATCAATCGTACGGTGACAGCACTGCATCGGTGACCGCTCCGTGCAAACAAACACAGTGTTTGGATGTTTATTTGTCGAGCTGACTAATTTGAATGCAGGCGCATGACAGTGTGTTCGCGAAGGAGATACTATAATTACCAATTTACAAACATAATGACAAACCCACCATTGTGTGGGTGAATAGTTAGATACAGAGCAAATAGTACCGTGAAAAATCTGAATATTCCTCTAGTCTTTCATCTGCTGGAGACAAAGTAGTTGTTTCAAATGTCCAAGAACTAGTGGACCATTTTTTCGGGTTTGATTTCACACACTACAACCGATAACTCAATGTCTATTAAGTGTCTAATGATAATGATGATAATAATAGTAAGAATAAAGTGTTTACCATTCATAACTAAGGATAATTATCTTGGCTTGTCTGTGATAGTTGTTTACGGAAAGGACCGTAAGGATCTCAGCAGCATTAATTCGAGTTCATCACATTTTAAACATTACTAACGACCACCAATCCTACCTTTGAGTCTTTTTTGCCACTAAAGGTAACACTAAAGGTAACATGGACAGAATATTCATTTAAAGGAAAAAGTATCAGAAATAACGCTTACTGGTAGTCATTCTCTCGCACCAGTGCCGGATATCACACACCCAAATTCGTGCTTGGGCTGGCTTTTCGAGTTTATTGTGGTCATATGATGTTCACTAGTCAGCAAACTGAAGTGCAAAGCTGGCACTCTAAGAGGAGCTACCGAAGACAAGTGCTTCGGAAAACACAACTGCACGGCGACAAAAATACTGATACAAGAGATAGCGCGCCGGTATTCGTCATCTTCTAATGAAAAAATAATGCGGTCTGATTGCTTGGGGAGAAAGACCGTAATTATCATCGATCGTGGCAGTTTTGTGTCAATCAATGTTCCTGAGTCTGTGCATAATCACACAATAAGCTAGTCAATAAATTTCGTTTTATTAAGTGATGGCGACTGATCAGCGTCGGTCATGTGTGTCTGTGTCCACCAAATTTTCCTGAACTACGATGTCGTGAGACGGAGACAACATTTTTGAAAAGGCGAGAATGCTAGCACTGCATCTCCGTCCACGCGCACATACGTTGCCGTCATTGTATAATTTCCTCAGTGTCCTAAGGACCTCATGTAACATACCGAGTGTATCTTGATTCTCACTGCTTCTGTGCCTCAGAGGGTGCTTTTGAGGGAAAAGCTAGAGACAAATGAGTCAACATACAAAGAGCACACAGCTGTATCCATTGTTCTCATTTTTAAAATCAGCATAACTCAGGTGCGCGGTAATGTCAGAAGCAAAGTGCAGGTTCTTCAAAAGTGTAACTCAGAAGCTTCTCGTATCATTGATGGCATTATAGAAAGTGCATTTGGGGATATAAATATCGAGATCCTTGAGTGTTTTTGTGAAACAGGCGATAAACCATTCTAACCGCAGGTTTCATATGGCAAGAAAATGCGATGAGAATTCCTGCACAAACTAAACGAGTATGATTCCAAGTAAATAAAAGATGACTGCATAAATTTCAGAAGCACTTCAGAATAAGTCTTCGTGGTTCCAACGGAGAAGGGGTCAAGATTCTGATTACAAATCCGGTTAATTGTTTAAGAGGGCTACTGAAAAACAGATAAAATTTTGATGAGACTTTCACCTTCATCAGAGATGCCCCCACAAAAATTCCCCCCAGAGGGGGGGAATGTGTGAGAATAAAGGTAATGGATGGGGCACTGGAAAAATTCACCTCTCGGAAGAACCTCATTATGGATCGAAATGTCATATAATAGAAGGCCATCATAGTGCACGAATGCTTCAGGAGCATGCCTTCGTCACTAAAAAAACATGATCTGCAAAAATGGCTATTCCCGTTGGTAAGCGTGTTGTCCACTTGCGAATGAAGTTACATCAAGTAGAGCTACAGTTCTTGCCTGTTAATATAAGACCCCAAGTGCAACACTCTTGCGGGAATAACCAACTATGTAACTGATATGAAGAAAGCACTGTCTGGGGCATATGGCGGATAACTTGAGTGACGTTCCTTTCCGCACGTAGTTGTTTGAATAGGCTTTATTTTAGGTTATTTTGTATAATGCTGTATGGTCTACAAATTTTTGAGCGTGCGTTCAAGTCAACAATATGATTGAGTTTTGTTTTCCCGATGGCGAGTAAAGTGCTCAATTGTGGTCTCGCTGGTAAACGTAGGAGGACTTTCAGCCTTCTTCCAGAGAATGTGATTTTCGACCCGTATGTTGGATTCAGCACGCATTCGGATATGTATCATAACATTTTTGTTACGGACAACTAAACAGCTTATAATGAATTCATTGAGAACAATCACCATTCACCAGAACTAAGAGGAAAAGATCAGCCGGGACGGTAAGTGACAATTACAACGTCGAATGCGTTCAGCAGTTTCCCTCCGTTTGTCGGATATCCTTCCTTCGGTCAGTATACCCAACTAAAGTATCATGAACTACGGAAAGATTAACAATTCACGCTCGAAATGTTTAGATTGCTTTTCAGTCATCTGTGGTTTATATCATGGTTCATTTTACGTAAACCAGTAGAGCCAATTTTTATTCCCTCCTCCCCATGTCAAATAAAGCAGTCTAAAGACAGACTGAAGCTACAGAATTAAGAGCTTGTCACAGCAACGAGAGAGTAGGCTTACGGGAAAGGAAGGATTTCAACCAGTATCTGAGATTGTCCACCCCGTGGGGGTAGCACTGTACTGGACAACATCACCGGGCCAAAATGCTTGCAGGTCGAATGCTTCATTGTCTTCCTTAATTTTGTCGATTTAACGGTACCTTGGCCAACATGCTTGTTTGGGTCCCAAAGTCAACCAGATGGTTACAGGTGGTTTTATTCCAAAACCAGAACAATGTATAGAATGCTATCACAGCCGACCAATATCTGTAGAAAATTCAGTTCGTCTACTTAGTGAATTTGATTTTTACGAAAATCACAAAAAACATTAGTGTAGTATTGATGGGCCCCAAAGATAGCCAGGCTTGTAAAACAACACATTTCAGTTGCCAGCATCGGAATTATATTGATAAGATTGCGAATGCTAAAATAGGTTACCTGATGATATTTGTTTGATTATAAAGGCCAATTTGAGTGGAAACCAGGAGACCCAAGGAGATAATTTTATGGATTATCTTTACAGAAACGAACCTGCCGCATCCATTCAGGCAAAAAACTCCTAGTCCCAATAGAGGTATTTTCACATGCAAGAGAAAAAAGTATGAAGAAACAGCACAATGGTAGTGCCTTTTTCATCGACCGACGGATATACACCGACAGACAGGTAGAAACGCCTTACACTAAACTGAAGCGTCACTGAACGATCCAAGACATGAAGAAGAATGGTCTTGACTAACGGCTAAGCATGGAATATTTTGCACAGCTTCGATGCGTGCCAAAAATAACGAACCCGGAACACAATTAAGCCAAGCCCAGTACCTAACTAGTCATCGATTTCTTAATGAACATGCACATAGTATTGAAGTGGAAAGTTCGTTTTTAATGAACTATTCGACCATTATAGTGGTGCCCTACTTGAATATTATCAGTTCTAGCTATAGAAACGCCGAGTTATTCAGTTTCTGAGGAACTAACACAAGTCAAACTGTGGTATTTCATGAAAAACTGAAAAATCTGTTAGAAAAAAAATAAAAAACAATAGAGTTGCAGTCACCCTTGTCCAGAGAACTTCAGACATCTTCCACGATAACCGCTGGTATCGTAAAGATCAAAGCTGTTCTCTATGAAGAAGAGAGTGCTGTCATTGTATATTAAAACTTTCTGTGATTTCCACCATTGGACCATCACTGCCCAATGGTGATCGTTCACCGAATGCATACTGAGCTCACCGGTGTTATATGTGCACATGAAGTCGACGAACTATCATCTACGTGTCATGTGTATGATGATCATACTAGGAAAGTAACTGCAAACCCACAGGAAGAAGGGTTGAACAACCTGATGGAATTCACCCGGGATTGAATTTGGAAACTACCAGCCGGCGCCAACCCAGAACTCAACTGTATGGTAATTTTACGTCTTACTGTCCATTCTATGATTTGTTCCGATGATGAGCAGCTGTATGAGATGAAAGCACATGACATACAAGTAGTAATTTTCACTGCCAACGGTCTGCTAGCTGAACTTACTTTGCACAGTTGCGACGTGTGGAAGATGATAAATAGCAACACGTAACCTGTGTGCTTGGTTGTCAGCACAAAGGACACCTGAGAGTTCATTCAAACTATGCTTCACATAGTCCACTTCTTCCCCTGTGACTGGAGGTTCAAGTTGAACGTATGAAATGTTGACCGTAGGTTCCACAGAAATATTAGCGTTCGGGAATAAGGTGGAAGGATCTTTGGGTTCTGCAACGAATCCGATCTCACTCACGGCAGCAGCCAATGTCGATGCATTCAGACCAGCTTTCGACGAATATACTATGATGGCTTGTTTCTTTTCCAAACTGACCTGTAATGGCGGTGAAAAACCACAACATGCATCAGATATTTCTACAAAATATTTCAGATTTGCAAAAAAAGGTACATCTCCATCATGGATTTGTGGTTTGACACCTATGTGACCCTAAAAAAGGATCCATGACTAGTTATAGTTAAATCATATGAGTGAATACATTTTTAAATTTCGATCAAGAGTTTTTTTTATGTAAATGAGGCTAATCTATGCTGAAAAGTACTGAGTTTCTGCTTGGTGCGTCCAGCTCAGCATACGCCAGGCACAGTTGAAGGACAAAATCTAGGCCAAGACCCATCGGAGGTCAAACCGTCCGACGTGGTCATATCCGGTTGAAGCAGGAAATACCTCTTGATCACATGATTATTTCATGCTGTCTCCAACCTTAAATAGGATTTTTCCCGGTAAGACTGGATCCAAGACATGCACCCGTTGATGTAATTTAGCTATTGTTACCTATTTTTATTGGTTCTTGGGTAAGTGGTCGGTTCACTACTAAATTCCAGACACGCCTCAACTTAAAAGCATGGCTAATTCTATTCTGCTACAGATATCCATGCAAGGTTTGCTATTTATTTCAGTTAAGGAGGGACAAATTCTTAAGATGGATAATACCAGCACAGTAGCCAAACTAAATACAAACTAAACACGAACAAACTATAAGAATTCTGACAGTGAGGCACTACCAAAAGACTGAGGGAAAAGTATGAGTGTAGGCGTCGCCTGCTGTTTGATTGCCGTTCTAAGTTGCAGACTCACATCACAAGCGACAGTCCATTGCCTAACTGAGTACTTCAACCATATCTGTCGGTAGGTTATTCTATATGTTTACTACCATTGCAGTGGAAAAACTTTTGAAACTTTTTAAAGCTCGTGTTTTTAAAGTTACTGCTAGTTCCCCTTAGTACCAGCCAGTTGCTCAGGTAATAAGAGTGCACCAGCATCCAAACGTCAGGTCCACAATGGTTCTCCGAGATTCTGGGTCAATGAATGATATTTCTTCCGACTCTAAAGCTATCCTGGCGACCGTTTATTGCATTCTTTGTAGAATAAAACATACACCAATGGTGCGTGGAATGTGAGCCAATGCTCTGCACTTCAACACAAATGGTACTTAAGTGCTCATTCACCTCGAAATGCTTCGTTCAATCCACAAGTAAGCTTTAAAGGGCTCACAAAAATGACAACTTCACTGTCAGTCAGCAGCGTGCGATTCTAAGTCATTGAGTCATCTCGAACCTGCAACTTCAAACCCAGAAATCCATCTTTTGTGACTCGAGGCGGTGCTCATACAGTAATACTTTGTAGCTACAGTCCCACCAACCTGGCGCTAAGCCCCATTCGCCGGCAGTCTGAGTTATTTTATCAACCAACACATATTTAGAGGTAATTTGATAGCACTGATATGGCAATCCATAAAAATTCCCTAATCCGATCGGTAATATACACAGAAAGTTGGCAGTCACATAAGAGATCAAGTTAGGCTATGTAGTTTTTCCGGTTAAACTCCATACTGGACCCTAGGTATTTGACATTTTTCTGGGTCCCCAAGTCCTCGAGTTGGTAGCACAGTATCTGTTATTCGGGAATCTGCGTTGACGATAAGTAGAAGTATCACTGACTTTACATAGAAAGTGATTTCTACGCACCTATTCATGGCCTTCATAAGTACAATGGCTGGACTTAGGGGGCCGTAGTTGTATGAAGTATGCTTACCTCCTCAATCCTAAAAAACATTTACCCGGTTTATCCTCCACGCTTGGTGCACTAAAAATGCATTAGAGGGGGTTAAAATGAACGCAGCCAGTAGTAGAGCTACATGATGAAGTGCCGGAGAATGCGTACGATATGGTCCCGGAGAGTTTTCCTCTTCGGTAAAGAAGAGGAAGCATATCTTCCTTTCCTCAAACCAAAATGTTCACTCTTATGTCCGCATTTTATCCTTCAAATTCTACTTTCACTCTTTTCCTCAAGTCATTGAAAAACTTCAACAAATGTCTTACAGAGGGTAGATGCTTTTGGGTTTTTTGAGATTGGCTGTTCATGAGCACAGGCAGCTGTTCGGATAGATATTGGGATACTTCCTATTCCGTTCGGTTTTCACCGGATCAGTCGGCTTGATTTTGAAGGACTTCGTTCTTTTCTTAGTTTTGAGCGACATGGTTACCCTATATTTTCTTATATGTGGCATGATCCAAATGCTATCCGCACCATGTACTTGCATGCTAGGTTTTCTCGAAGGCAAGTGGCTCTTGACGACGCTAGAGATCTTTTAAGACGCATTTTATTGCCAAAGTAGCTAATGCAGTACACGACTCTGCCAAACACTGTTCTGTTGATTTCGCGTCCTAAAATAGTAACATAACGTTTTTCGTCACAATATTCATGTATTGAGCTTGATCCATCTGGCCCACCAGCTTCGGATGCGCACTCCAGGTAGACCCTGGTAAAACGTTCCCACTAAGGTCTTAAGTGCGAAAAAGAGCCGTACGGCTATATAGAGTGAAATACGAACTTTATCGTTTCATGGTTTGGTTAAGTCTCATCCCCTCGATTACCATGACAAATGGTGCGAATAAGTTTAACTCTGTAACTTTGTTCTAGTAACTTTCATAATATACATGCTACCGCCTTCACATGAGTGATGCCTTGGGGTTGATTCTCACCGTCTTAAACTACTGCACACTCCTGTCCTTCCGGGATACGATCGCATGGCTGATACCCAGTTCCATGTATATCGTGCTACTGATCACGTTTCACCTTTCCTTCTTGGGTTAAGTCTCCTTCTGATCAAACTTTGGTGCTGCTAAACAACCACACGTATTTCTTGCTCGTCTTTGAGGTCTAGCTAGAATCATCTGACTTTTAGGTCCATTGGTTTTCTCCATCATGCCTGCGTTCAATTTTAGTGCGTTTTACTGTAGCCATCTCCCCTCCCGCTGATTCCGATCTAACCATTCGCGATTGGTCGTCACAGTCATTGTCGTCTTCTTCATCATCATGACCATCACCGTCACCATCACCATCATCTTCATCGTTATCATCGACAGCATGACGTCACGGTTCAACACTGGGCAAGGAATTGAGGTATCTGTGTCGGTAATCAGTGTAATTGTCTCCCTGCACTGTCTCTACATCTGAAGACAGAAGTCTATGCATCCATCTAGAGGCTGTATGAATTTGGACACTTGCGGTTCTTTATCCACAGTGAATCATACCTACCGATCTCAAGATGGACACGGATCACAATTTGAAGCGATCTCCGTTGGACGCCCTGGCACTGGTAAGAAATTTGTTCATAATTGATAAGCTCTGCGTTCGATCTCGGAATAATCTCCGTCATTAACTCCACTGTTTCTCGGATTTCAAACCGAATATTAATCAAGAAATTAACTTGCATGATACGGTCCAGGAAGCTAAGACAGGGACTGTCAACGAAACACTTGGAGCGGCTGGCTATTCAATGTCTGAAACTAATCGATTAGTCAACATCTCCTTGAAACAGTCCCGTACCATAATAAGAATTGAAAGATTGACCGTCAAATTTTTATGAGATAACTTACGTCTACATGATGTACCCCTTGTTTGCCCTTCAACGTGGAGGCGATTAGACAGACACACGAATGACATGTCATCCCGTCTATATGTAAAACACTAAGGATATCCTGATCTGTCATCTTTCCAGCATTATTTCAATTGGCGCCACAGAATCCCCCAACAATTTATTAAATGAACTTGTGAATTTAGAGCAATTAAACAACTAAAATGCGAACTTTCGAGATCCCAGTAACTTTCAAGGTTATCAACTGAATACAGAGAACTTGAACACTCTCGTATGACCCACAGGCAAAAATGAAGAAGTTTCTTTAGGTCTGTCTGTAGGTTCTTAACTGATTTCCTTTCCATGCGATGAAATATCAACCTTACTCATGCCGCTGGTCGAACCAAGAGTTTTTCAAGTAAAATTGTACCCTTTGAAAGTTTTTATTGAGTACACGAAAGTCTAGCTCAAAAAAAATGTTTCTAGCAAAAATTAGCGTGTTCAGCATCTTCCTTTGGAGTGGAATTCCATAAACAATCGTTTAGTAAGGCTCAGCGGGATCAGTGTTTTCCGAACGCATGTTAATTTTGATTCCTCAAAAGCTTCTCTCAGTCGCCTTTGTGAAGGCATTGATTCAGTTTATGGGGAATAAATACGTTGATTCTCTGCGCTAATTAGAGGAGCTATCCGTGATCCACGTATGGTAAATTTTCCTGCTGTTTCGGGGACCGTCCATTCGACCAGGGTCGAATAACTCGTCCGGGCTATTTAGTTCATTGCATGTTTCGATCACAGTATGATCTGAGTCAGATGTCCCTTGATGTCTGTTATTAACCGGTATGGTGGATCTTTGATGGAGACGGTAACAGGTGTCCAGTCAATAAGCCCCCTTTCATCTGGCACCTGTCAGCCCGACTTGTGATGGACTTATTGAGTACAGCGTTCAGTTTTAAATACGGAGCATGGCCGCTGCACATATGGCAGTATCTCGTGTGTGAATTTACAAGAGTAACGCTCATGCGAGGTACCCAAACCTACATCGCAAAATCGCAAACTCGATTTTTTATTAAAAGAATGCTTGCATTTTTTGACTGCGGTTGACGGTGTGCCATCGGTTATCGCGGAACTTCAGGAATGTAGGTAGGTTCATTTAATGGAATACGACGGGGCTGGTTATGGTCATGTTTTGTTACATGCACATATGGGATTGCTTGGTCTTCGTATTTTTTCAGACGTCGACTTTAATGCTATGCATGTTCCAAGCCATCTAATGTAACTACTTTCAGGGCATCTGACTCTAGATAAGCCAGTTCGAACTTTACGCCGGTTATGTATACTTTCGTTGAACACATTTATTCCCCTCTCTCTGTCAGTCTTTCAGATCTTTTAAGAAGAAAGTAAGTAGATAGTACCAAATCAGGAAATTCTTGGTGAATTAAATGACCTCGGAAATGCCGGTTGGCATAGATTTGTTCAGCTGTAGCATAACAATGTACTCCCTTACACTGTATGTTGTACCGTCGACTTGCCTTTTTCAGCGGATGTTTGCCGTTTGCTTGATCACAGATTGAACTGTTTTGCTGGCCTTGCTGTCCCTTGACAGGATAAAATATCCGGTAGCTGGAGTCCTTGATTAATTCGCAAGCCACAATTATGGCGTCTTGGTGACATACCGCCTTGCAGATCAGGTGACTGGCACGCGAGGTGAAAGCCTCGAGGTACGTCCTGTAAGGGAGACGTCTTGTTGCGTAGCGCCGTGGTGCGTTCGTATACCCGCCATTCCTCCAGTAACACAGGTGCTTCGCCCATCGCCTATGTTTCTGAGCATGGCCTTCAATCCAGGAAATCTATAAAAGAGCACTGTTGTTTTCCGTTTGTTGCTGCTAGTTTGGACTCGTCGCGGTTGGCGTCATTTAACTCGGAAAGATATAGCTACAGATAATGAAAAGATCAAAAAAGAAAAAGAACTGGCCTCCCATCTGTAAAAATAGATATTCGCAAAAAACACAATTGCAACAGCCGGAGACTCTACGATGTCCGTGGCTTACATGGACGTGCGGGACTCCACCTGCTCTTGTCATGGTTGTGTTGTACCGTAACAAAGCCAACTTAGTCAGCCAAACAAAGCACACGCACCTACCTACTGCTCTCAGGAGTGAGCAAATACAATGAGGAATATATGTAGACAGAGGTTCCTAACCCTCCGCTACCAGACTTATGCCCAATGACTTTTTATTCGCCATGCACCACTTGCTTACTTGAAGCCAATAACAGTGCTTCGGGGATTAGTGACTATTTCTCTTATACTTACATTCTCTCCTGATATTTTCAAACTCAGGTAATAAATACCAGATCAACCAGTCACCTCGGAAGTTCCCTCCCGTCAGCCAGTATACATCTGATTTCCCTAACCACACAACCACTCGCCTGCTTATATCGGCTTTTACCAGATACCTTGCACGTTAATATTGTATGGTAGCAGAGCCAACTGTTGGCCACTGGCCTATAAAGTGCAAATCTATCTATACCTTATTCCATATAATCACTTTTTGTCATCACTCCAATCACGGTGGACGCCAATTTTTCTTTCTATGGATATTAATCCATATGATCCAACTTGACGTCCCCTCAAACTCATCAGACTTTACTAATCTCATCCCATCCCCTCATCTAACCAAGCTTTGATCTTCGACAGTACCCGGTTTGGAAGATCCGGTTGGCTATTATGCCGTGCCCTCTCGCCACTCGTTCCATTAACTGCAAATAGGACAAACCTCCCACCTGACCCTAGCCGGCTCCAGCCTGCTGAACTTTTTTGAATTTAACTAACTGATTTCCTTTCCATGCGATGAAATATCAACCTTACTCATGCCGCTGGTCGAACCAAGAGTTTTTCAAGTAAAATTGTACCCTTTGAAAGTTTTTATTGAGTACACGAAAGTCTAGCTCAACAAAAATGTTTCTAGCAAAAATTAGCGTGTTCAGCATCTTCCTTTGGAGTGGAATTCCATAAACAATCGTTTAGTAAGGCTCAGCGGGATCAGTGTTTTCCGAACGCATGTTAATTTTGATTCCTCAAAAGCTTCTCTCAGTCGCCTTTGTGAAGGCATTGATTCAGTTTATGGGGAATAAATACGTTGATTCTCTGCGCTAATTAGAGGAGCTATCCGTGATCCACGTATGGTAAATTTTCCTGCTGTTTCGGGGACCGTCCATTCGACCAGGGTCGAATAACTCGTCCGGGCTATTTAGTTCATTGCATGTTTCGATCACAGTATGATCTGAGTCAGATGTCCCTTGATGTCTGTTATTAACCGGTATGGTGGATCTTTGATGGAGACGGTAACAGGTGTCCAGTCAATAAGCCCCCTTTCATCTGGCACCTGTCAGCCCGACTTGTGATGGACTTATTGAGTGCAGCGTTCAGTTTTAAATACGGAGCATGGCCGCTGCACATATGGCAGTATCTCGTGTGTGAATTTACAAGAGTAACGCTCATGCGAGGTACCCAAACCTACATCGCAAAATCGCAAACTCGATTTTTTATTAAAAGAATGCTTGCATTTTTTGACTGCGGTTGACGGTGTGCCATCGGTTATCGCGGAACTTCAGGAATGTAGGTAGGTTCATTTAATGGAATACGACGGGGCTGGTTATGGTCATGTTTTGTTACATGCACATATGGGATTGCTTGGTCTTCGTATTTTTTCAGACGTCGACTTTAATGCTATGCATGTTCCAAGCCATCTAATGTAACTACTTTCAGGGCATCTGACTCTAGATAAGCCAGTTCGAACTTTACGCCGGTTATGTATACTTTCGTTGAACACATTTATTCCCCTCTCTCTGTCAGTCTTTCAGATCTTTTAAGAAGAAAGTAAGTAGATAGTACCAAATCAGGAAATTCTTGGTGAATTAAATGACCTCGGAAATGCCGGTTGGCATAGATTTGTTCAGCTGTAGCATAACAATGTACTCCCTTACACTGTATGTTGTACCGTCGACTTGCCTTTTTCAGCGGATGTTTGCCGTTTGCTTGATCACAGATTGAACTGTTTTGCTGGCCTTGCTGTCCCTTGACAGGATAAAATATCCGGTAGCTGGAGTCCTTGATTAATTCGCAAGCCACAATTATGGCGTCTTGGTGACATACCGCCTTGCAGATCAGGTGACTGGCACGCGAGGTGAAAGCCTCGAGGTACGTCCTGTAAGGGAGACGTCTTGTTGCGTAGCGCCGTGGTGCGTTCGTATACCCGCCATTCCTCCAGTAACACAGGTGCTTCGCCCATCGCCTATGTTTCTGAGCATGGCCTTCAATCCAGGAAATCTATAAAAGAGCACTGTTGTTTTCCGTTTGTTGCTGCTAGTTTGGACTCGTCGCGGTTGGCGTCATTTAACTCGGAAAGATATAGCTACAGATAATGAAAAGATCAAAAAAGAAAAAGAACTGGCCTCCCATCTGTAAAAATAGATATTCGCAAAAAACACAATTGCAACAGCCGGAGACTCTACGATGTCCGTGGCTTACATGGACGTGCGGGACTCCACCTGCTCTTGTCATGGTTGTGTTGTACCGTAACAAAGCCAACTTAGTCAGCCAAACAAAGCACACGCACCTACCTACTGCTCTCAGGAGTGAGCAAATACAATGAGGAATATATGTAGACAGAGGTTCCTAACCCTCCGCTACCAGACTTATGCCCAATGACTTTTTATTCGCCATGCACCACTTGCTTACTTGAAGCCAATAACAGTGCTTCGGGGATTAGTGACTATTTCTCTTATACTTACATTCTCTCCTGATATTTTCAAACTCAGGTAATAAATACCAGATCAACCAGTCACCTCGGAAGTTCCCTCCCGTCAGCCAGTATACATCTGATTTCCCTAACCACACAACCACTCGCCTGCTTATATCGGCTTTTACCAGATACCTTGCACGTTAATATTGTATGGTAGCAGAGCCAACTGTTGGCCACTGGCCTATAAAGTGCAAATCTATCTATACCTTATTCCATATAATCACTTTTTGTCATCACTCTAATCACGGTGGACGCCAATTTTTCTTTCTATGGATATTAATCCATATGATCCAACTTGACGTCCCCTCAAACTCATCAGACTTTACTAATCTCA